GAAAGATTCCGGTGCCCCCACCAGGACGCGAACCCTCAACATGTTTTTGGACTTGTGAGAGGAAGCCGGAGAACCTGGAGAGAACCCACGCTGCACGGGGAGAACATGCAAACTCCACACAGAAAGATCCCGCTGCCCCAACCGGGACGCGAACCGGCGACCTTCTTGCTGCGAGGCAACAGTGCTAACCAACTGTGCCACCTTGCAGTCCATCTCAGACTACAGAATATGTTTATACATATATATTTAGAGTAAACAATATGATATAAAATCATATCTGACATTAAGAATACATCACATAAATCAGAAGACTGTAGAAGAATGTACTTCTTGTTCTGTTTTCACACTGGTTACTGTTTGTTTTGTTCATCAGAGAAAACTCAAAGAGATCAAACTCCAAATGTTTGCAGCTACTCACTCAGATTTCCTCCAGAAACTGGACCCTGGAGCAGAAACACCACTGTTACACCTTATATATTTAAATAGAGTCCAGGAGAAGAATCTGTTAGTCTATTGGGTTGAATTCAGACCAGTGTCAGGATCCTAATGTGAGGGAACAGATTCTGAAGCACAGAGACACTCTGAGTGAGCTGAGAGAGTTGAAAAACAAAGAGAGGAGGAGCCTGACATGTTTTTGTCTGTCAGGCTTTTCATTTTACAGTCAAATATTTTCACTGTCACTTCCTGGAATCTGCAGTATCTGTGGTTCAGACGACATTACAGCTCTGACCAGTACTGAAACCTATTTATTGGTGGCAATGGGAAATACAACTAGAGTTTATAATGTCATTTAATTTAAAAAGGTATGAGTCACTAGGCCTTCCGTCTACATACTGACACTGTATCCTTGAAATATGTTTGTTTCCACCTGGTGTCCTGAAAACTTAACATGCTCCATGTATGACAGTGTGATGTACGTACATGCATGAATACATTTCCTATATGTCATAAATCAACACATGCTGGTGTGACTGGGTTCTGGAAGATGGAAACTTTCCCTCTAGTTCAGTGATCGTAGTGCTGTTTAGCCTTCTCTGATCTTCTTCAGCTCAGTGACAAAGTTGTTGCTTGTCTTTGTTAGAAAGAAGGGTTTGGGTCACTTTGTTAAATAACAGGGTCAGATGGTGTTCCTGTGCACCCTGGTTCTAGAATCAATGGCAGAAAATGGATGTGCAGTGTAATAAAAATGTGTCAGTGTTCCTTCCCATATGACAACTGGGAGAGGTCAGGTGGAATGTACCTTTACACTGTGACAGGTTTCCCAGTACGAATAAGTGCACTCATTCTACAGATGCTTGCATCTTTGGAGGCTGTTAGCTGGACAAGTCTCAGTTTTATCACAAGCCATGTCTAGATGATGCTGGGCGTTAAGTATTAGACAGAAACCATCAGATTAACAAAATAAAAATGGCATTGCTCTCACAAACATAATTCAGAAGCTCACCTGCATCATGAATTAATGCTGCATATTTCTATCCACCACAGTGAGGTGGGTAAACCCAGGGCCTTGTAAATATTCATGCAGTCTATGTAATCCCACCTCGGTACCAGACACTATAGAACCCCTCCAGACATTCTGTGTACGGGTCAGAGCTGTTATATTAGAACGAGGTGGACGTACACAATATCAGGCAGGTGGTTTTAATATTGTATATGTACTGATGTTCATAATTAGTCCAATCTACTCTGTGTGACCTGGAAAACAGAAACATCTGTATGATAATATAAAAACATTTACATATACAGAGAGTTACAAATATTAAAAAAACAATCAAATGCCAGTCTGAGAACAGCACTGGATAGTAATCATAACATAACCATCCCAGTTCTCCACTTAAAGATGTTGAGCAAACTCGAAATCAAAACTATCACAACGAACACAATAAAAGCCAAACCTAATTGAAGAATGTCGTGTGTTTAATGTCATTATTGTCGGAAGACTTTTTGTACTTGTCAGACAAGTTACTTTCATAAAGGGAGGAGGAGCTGGGCTTGTGTGCTAAACTTTTGTTTTTACATTTAAGTGTTTTTGTTTCTCTGTTGACACACATACACAATAGATGGTAGACTAATGAGAAGTGTGGTGATGTTTCACATGGTAAAGTTGGTGGTTTCGACCTTTCGTAACAACACAAGTTCATCCAGGACGCAGTAATCTAGATTTGTTCAAATGTTCTGCTTTCAATGCAGTCTGCTGAAGTTAATAAACTGTACAAGTACAACTGACAGTTAAATGCATGTTCCAAACGGAGAGGTTAACAAAAAGGTTTCCTCTGCCAAAGAAAAATGTTCCAAAGTCTTGTGAGTATTCCAGGATAACAGAACAATTCTTGAAACCAGAGAAACATTTTTCCTAAATACATTAGCAAGAAAAAGCATGTGAACCCTCTGAAATGTCCTAGTTTTCTGCATTAATTGTTCATAAAATGTGATCTGATCTACATTTAAATCACAAGTATAGACAAACACAATGTGCTCAACATAATACCACACAAACAATTATAATATTTCATGTCTTTATTGAACACATCCATTAAACACTCATAGTGCTGGTGGAAAAAGTAAGTGAACCCTTGGATTTAATAACTGGTCGAACCGCCTTTGTCAGCAATAACTTCAACTAAACGCTTCCTGTAGCTGCTGATCAGACCTGCACAACGTTCAGAAGGAATTTTAGACCACTTTATTTTTTATATTTGTTTTTAAATGAATTCAATTCAGAGCTGCAAGGTGGTGCAGTTGGTAGCACTGTTGCCTCGCAGCTAGAAGGTTGCTGGTTCGTGTCCCGGTGGGGACACTGGAGTTTGCATGTTCTCCCCGTGCAGCGTGGGTTCTCTCCGGGTTCTCCGGCTTCCTCCCACACAGTCCAAAAACATGTTGAGGTTAATTAGTGATTCTAAATTGTCTGTAGGTGTGAATGTGAGTGTGCTTGGTTGTCTGTCTCTAAGTGTAGCCCTGTGATAGACTGGTGACCTGTCCAGGGTGTTGTATTATTATTCAAAAGGAATAAATTTGATGTGATGTAAATTAACCAGCAATAACAAAATCTGATGCATCTAACAACATCACAGTGGACTACATCAGACATATAGGTAATGTTATTGTACAGTATCCATACTGTTTATTTTGCTAACAGACCATTTCATCTTTAGTTTAACTGCTGCCACATCTTATCCCAAGAAAATCCCTGCCAGGAGATCAGACGACAGACGAGGAAAGGATGAGGTAGAGGTAGAGTCTTGACTGAAAGTTCATGTATGTAGCCATGCTGAGTTATTGTACTGCCATCTTGTGGCGACAAGTGGAACTGAATGACCATCCACCTCATCCAGCCTTCATTTATATTATTTTCCCATTTCTATTTTTCTTTAACTTGTTCAAGAGGTGGGCAGGAAGTGGGGCCTGCATAGGTTGAGAGACTGAACTGCAACCATAGCGCCTCAGGTCGGATCTCTGCAACAGCTTGTGCTGTTTTTTGTTTATAATATTTGAGGAAAATGTGGTAATAAAAAGTGCTTGATTCAAGTTTTATTTGCCACATGCTCATACAGTATGTGTAGTGAAATGTAAAGTGACTGTTCTCAAGGCTGTGCAATATCAAGAAGACATTATAAAGGACAAATCTTTAAAAAAGAAAACAAGCGAATTAGACAAAAGTCACAAAGTCATAAATAATGAGGCAGATTTTAAACTAAAGTGCAGTGTACATTGTAAAAGAGTGCAGTTGTGTGTGGGTGGGATGTTCCTCAGGCACCAGCCAGAGCGTAGCAACTCAAGCAGTCCATTGCTGGGTTAGTGAGGGGTGCTCCTTGATCCTGTTCGCTCTGACCATGCTCCTCCTGACGTAGACGTCAGGGTGGAGTGTGCTGTGCCCATGGTACACTCTGCTGACCTTGGCACCCTCTGCAGGGCTCTCCGGTTGCAGTTAGTGCTGTTTCTGTACCTCTGGGTGATGTTCCCGGTCAGAACGCTCTCCATCACTCCATTGTAAAATGTCCTCAGCACCTTCAGAGAGACTCCGAATTTCCTCAGCTGTCTGAGGTGATAAAGACGCTGCCTCGCCTTGGTCCCCTGGTTGTCTATGTGTTCAGACCATGACAGATCCTCAGAGATGTGCCCCACCAGGTACTTGAAGCTGCACACCCTTTCCACAAATGATCCATTAATACTCAGTGGAGTGTACTTCCCCTGCTGGCTTCTTCCAAATCCACAATCAGGTCCTTGGTTTTACTGACATTCAGCAGCAGGTTGTTAGTCTGACACAACCGTGACAGACTGTTAACCTCCTCTGTGTACGTCTGCTCATCATTCTTACGGATGCATCCAACCACAACTGTGTCATCTGCTTATTTCACAATAATGTTTGAGCTAGTCATGTGTGTAAAGGGAGAAGAGCAGAGGGCTGAGGACACACCCCTGGGGGGCTCTGGTGCTCAGGGTGCAGGGGATGGAAATGTGTCTGTCTACCTGGACCACCTGGGTTCTAGTGGACAGGAAATCCAGAATTCAGTCGCACAGGGAGGTGCTCAGACCCAGATTGGACAGCTTGGTGTAGAGCTTGGAGGGTACAATGGTATTGAAGGCTGAAATAAAATCAACAAACAGCATTCTCGCTTAGTCCCCTCTCTGCCTGTCCAGGTGGGTGAGGATGGTGTGCAGAACCTGAGAGATGGCATCATCAGTGGATCTGTTTGGCCGGTAAGCAAAGCAGATACAGAGACTCAGGGAGCAAGGAACAGATGTGTTTCCTGGTTAGCCTTTCAAAACACTTCATTATCTCAGAGGTGAGAGCTACTGGTCGATAATCATTTAAGCTGGATGGAGAGGCATTTTTTGGTACGGGACCAACAGTGGCCCTCTTCAGGCATGTGGGGACCACACCACTCATGTGTAACTGTGATGCCATTAAAGATTAGCTATGCACAGGAGAGGCCAAGAGGTAACCTGTGGTGGCCAAAGACAGGCATGATGGAAAACAATCAGTTTAAACTGCTAAAAAATGCAATGCTGTCCCAGAACCTGCAGCCAAAAGAAAGAAAATGCAACGCTAAAAGCTGGATGGACATGATGTGTTGTCTCAGCCACAGCTTTTACCTGCATAACAAAGATGTATGTGCAATAAAGGAGATACGTTTTGCAATAGTTCTGAAAAAGAAACACAAAATAGATTTAAAAAACTGAAAACAGGATTATTAATAAATATATGACTGAAGCATGAACCTGTGTGCATATGAGTTGTTGCTTTGGACTTGGAATATATATAAGATACAATACCTATACAAAATATATGTTTTTAATGCATAAATGTAATGTAAAAAAAAGTGTAGCTGTAATAAGCTAAGGCTTACACAATTTAGTTGTGTAAAATTAATTTGCTTTTTTTCTTTTTTTACTCGTCAGTGTTTATGAATATGCAGGTATTTCCATGTCTGAGTTGTATATATTAAAAAATGACTGACAATAACTGAAGTTTAAAATTGAAGGGTAAATACAAAAAATAGGAGTGCACTCTTTATATTTTAAATTTGACTTTGCAATTAAAAGGTGCATTTATGTTTTTGCCCAATAGCTACTGCTATTAATTGGGTTTGCCGATGACTTTAGTGTGATTTCAGTGCCATTTTCTATTTATTATTGCTACTGTTGTTAGTTAAATCACTTTCTGAACACTTGCATGGTTGTACTCCAACGGTATGGTGAGGCGTTGCTTTGTTCTCTCTGGTGTCTGTCTGTGGAGTGAGGTATGACCTGGAGGGGGTGTGTCGTGCTGGAAACTAACTCCAAAATAAAGATCACGTGTTGGCTGGAGTTTTTGCTGCTGAAAAATACCGCCCTCTGGTGGAAAAGGACAGTATGGCAAAAATAACAGCACCTCCAGACGAAACCATTCACTTGACAATGCAGCAATGCAGTCACGGATTACCCAAATCCTGGTGTAAATATCACTAAATCTTTAATATATTTTTATACATAAAATCATAGTTGCATCAAACGCAAAAAATGACAGCAATCCCGCCCGGGGCATTTGTTTAACGTTTATTGGGATTGCTTAGTACCCCGTGTATTGAAGAGCAGTGGTGCGTTCCAATAGTATTGAAGGCAAAGCTGAAAAACGGTTTGTTTTCACCGAGAGGAAGAAGCGTCGCTCGTCTCCACTGCTGCAGTGTCGGTTTTGAAAAAAACGGTTGTAACATTTATTTCATAGCTGGTTTGTATTAAGACAGCAGCTTTCTTAGCTCGCCATGGCTCTGTGCGGGGGTGTCGGAGCCATGGCTTTGCCCAGCGAGCTTATCGTCCATATATTCTCGTTTCTGTCTGACCGAGACAAGCTCCGGGCCTCGGCCGTGTGTTCACGGTGGAGGGAGTGTCTCTTCTACCCCGCGCTGTGGACCGAGCTCAAACTGCGGATAGGTGGTGGTTGTAACGGCAGCGGGTCCAGCTCCGACGAGACACCTAGGCTGGAGTTTCTCATGCGGAAGTTTGGCTCTTTCGTGCGTGAGCTACAACTGGAACTCGCTCCGGTGGAGGGCAACCTTAGCCCTCTGAACAACGACCCGTCGTCCGCTAGGATGGACCAACCTCCAGGACCCGATGACGACCCGCAACTCTCGGAGCAAAGAAGGGACGCCATGGCCACCTACTTGGACCAGGTGTTGTGTGTGTTCACCAGCATCCGAAACAATAGGTAACGTTTAAATAAGCTAAAAATGTATTTTTGAGTGTTTGTTTTTATTCAATATTCAGGAATTGACGTGAATAATCGCTCTGTTGTTTACACTTTACTACATTTGGTGCGTCGCAGTGAACTAGCAACTCGCTAGCTTGGTTAGCTATAAACAAACCCTGGCATTAGGAGTTACGTAATCGTGACATGTCTTTGCGGTGGAGCTAACAGCCAACGTTGTGTATCTGAAGACAGCGGTAATTTAATAGTACGTCACTGCTTAGTTTCACATCTGCAGTCATCAAACAACGATGTACGTATGATGCATGCTTCAGTGTCAATACCAAGTCAAATGCTCGTCTGCGTTTCTTTTGTTGCCAGTTCTATTTTCCATGTTACCCTGGTCTCTCCATACCAGCTGATACAATGCAGCACTGGTGGTGGCTACAGAAGGCTTTGTTGGCCGTGACTTGCTGATATCAGCACTGACACACACACACACACATATACAGTGTACGTGTAGATATATTTAGCCCTGGTATTCTGTTGCATATTGTAGGATATTAACACCTATGAGCAGCATACACAAAATATGGCCACTGGGTGATTTCTGCTGTGGAAGTTACTTCTCTGTAAAAACTTTCGCCTGAATATTATGTACCTCTATTACACCTTCTCCCACATTCTCCATTATTCTCTACAGTGCTTTGTAGTTTTGAAATAGCTGCCATCCAAAGCAGCACACTTCATGTCTTAGTTCTGCTGTGGGTGATGAAACCTTTTATCCTGTCTGATATTGTTGCATTGAGAAGTTTCCATTTAAGATTCAACTTGTGTCCCAGCTCCATACAGCGCATTGGTTCTTATATGGGTTTAAAATGTTTTTCTTAAATATTGTGTGGTGATGACAGGGCCTCAGAGGTATCCCAGATAACAAAAAAACAGGTATCAAGCCAGGGTAAAGCTTTTCAACTCAAAGTATGGAAATTAAACAAGGTTGTGTTGCATTAGTGCATAATTTGTAAAATTTCCTGTCAGTACAATACAAAATATGTACTGTAGAGTTCTTGTTAGTGAGTCTGCCATTGAGGATCAGTTAACCACTGATCATTTGAGCTGCCATATCTAACTTCAGCTGTCATGTTATCAAATGATGAAAAGTTTGTTTCTCTTGAATGTAGTGCAGGGACCTAACTCCACTGGTAGTGGTTCAAAACAATGAAAACTAACAACTCAGTGTTCCTTTCTGTGGGCGCTAAGTAGTTGCACAAAAATACAGCAAAGTTAAACTCTTAGCTGATATATGAGGTGTGTCAGAAGTTTCAGGACTGGTGTCACAAAAGATATATTTCAAATCCAAATTACAAGCTTTCCCAATCGAAGTAATCCCCCTGGAGTCTGTGGCACTTTCCCAGCCTTCTCTGCCACGCCGCCATGCACTCCTGGAAGGGTTCTTCTGGGATCCTCTCAGCTCTGTCGTCACAGCCATCTTGATGTCGTCCACGTCTTCAAAACGGGTCCCCTTGATGACCCCCTTGAGCTTGGGGAAGAGGAAAAAAATCAGGTGGGGTGAGTAGGGAGGTTGCTCCAGCACGGCGATGTTCTTCTCAGCCAGGAACTGTCAGATGCTCAGGGCATTGTGAGCAGGTGCGTTGTCATGGTAAAGCAGCCACGACTTGTCCTGCCACAACTCTCGCCTCTTCTGGCGCACTGAACGAAGCAAATGCAGAAGGATCTCTTTGTAGATGTGCTGGTTGATCGTCTGAAGGGGAAAACTTGTAATTTGTAGTTTGTGATTGAAATATATCGTTTGTGACACCAGTCCTGGAACTTCTTTGACACACCTCAAACAGGAAGTGGGTGCACTGTGTCCTACCTTGTAGGTAGGTCTATGTGATGTGTGGCAGCTCATGTAGATACTGATGGTTTGCTATCACGCGTATTGGTTAACATCCAAACATCATTGTCAAAGATAGAAATGTATCAATTATTAGAGCTGGATATCACTTTTTCTCCTATTGTTGGTATTGTTCTATTTTCTTTACCAGTTCCTGATAAAATATATAAATTAAGATTGCACTTCTTCGGTTTTGATTGCTGCCACCTCTCTGTCTGTAGTCACTACACAATGTCCTGCCCCCTGCACTTGTTATCTAGTTGATTACTAGTAATTGATATCAGCCCTGGGAAAAAACAAAACATATGGGTCAACTCCTATTCAGAAGAGACATAGACAGCCTGTTTGAATAAAGGTAACTGGGTTCACCATGACCTCTATACTTACCTTGACTGCATTAACTTTTGAAAGCATCAACATTTGGCATATAGTCTGCTGCTTGATCTTTGCCAATCTATTTTGGGTATCAGGATATAAAGGGCTCTAGACAGCAGTGTAGCAAAGTGCAGGGCAGCCGTACTTTTGTGTATGATAGAAGGCAGCTTACCAATATACACGACTAAATTGGATTGCATAAAATGGCTGCCGTTTGCCTTGTATGTGAACCCCTTTATATGTTTTTTGGATTGCTGCTTTTGCTTCTGTTATAGTAGGAAGAGTAAGAGTATTCCTAATGTGCAATGTGGGGTAAAATCACCTCACTGCAATAATGACTTAAACAAATGTTGACGGAACTAACAGATAACAGTGAAAGCACCCTCTACAGATAATGTTCTTTGTTAGTCGGATAAGAACAATGACAAAGTTGTAATACAGGTGATTCAATAATGACTACTATATCACATTGATGTTTTCTCATTAACACAATGTGTTGATACTATAGCTCTGTCTAATGTTTTTGTTTCTTTTCTCACATTGTCTCTCACACTCTAGAAACCTGCAGAAGCTGAGTCTGTATGGAGACACCTTTATTCTCCAACAAGAGGGACTACTAGACAGCTCTAACCTCCTTCAGATTCACCAGGGGGACAAAAAGATCAATGAGTAAGTCTGAGCATGAACACAGCTTTCTTTGAAATGACAGAAATGGTTTATATTTAGTAGTTGTTTCTATCCATAGCACTGTCACTTGTATATACGATAGATTTTACATATTACTGCAGGGTTTGTTCCCCTGGCTCGGCTCAGAATGGGCCTCTGGGGAGTGACTACGTAGGACAGTAAGCATAATCAGTTCAAATTTATCATGGCACTGAGTCTGTGTTACCTTATCTGATAAAAATCTGTTCGTTTGATAAACAAAACTGTTATGCTGGAGTAAATAAAACCTCAAACAACAGAACTGTTTTTTTGTTTCTTTTTTGTTTTTTTTAAATTTGGCTATGCTGGTGCCAAAAAATTTGACAGGAAAAACCTGGACTGCAGCAGCATGGCAATATATTGGTGACTGTTTGCAGAACATGATTAAAAAAAAATGTTAGTGGTATTTGGAGTCAGATTTTAATTCAATGCAGTTCGATTTTATTTATATAGCGGCAATTCACAACATGTGTTATCGCAACACACCTCAAATTGTAGTGTAAATTAAACAGAGGAACCCCAGCAAATCCAAATTTTCCTTTGGATATCTCTTTTAGCAAGCATATGGCAACAGTGGGAAGAAAAGTCGTGCATGTGGGCGTAAATGAGTATTATATACCAAATGGCACTGTTGCCGCCCTTGTTGGATTGGAAACAATGTGATGTTTGGTGTTTCAGAACGGTAATTAATTTGCAAAATTTAGAAAAGTTTGTCATTATCCAGTTAGAGGGCATACAACAATCCAGTTAACTGTTGCTACATTTGCACCTAGCGTCTACACTACTCCACCATTTTAGTGCCCCTAAAATGGAGACTTTAGGAAATGTTTGAAAACCTCAGAGCTGCGTTTTAGTTTAGACAGGCAGAAAGGGAGACTTATTGAGTTCATGACACAGACATCTACAGCTGAAACCAGAAGTTTACACGCACTGTATAAAAAGACATAAAACCTTTTTCTCTCGCTCCCTTTCTGACATTAAGTCAGAGTAAACTGTTTCTGTTTTAGGTTAGTTAGGATTACCAAAATTGTTTCTATTTGCTAAATGCCTGAATAATGAGTGAGAGAATTTTTTTGATATTTTTTTTATTGCTTTCTTTAAATTAGAAGTTTACCTACAGTGAGATTACTATGCTATCAAACTATTTGGGAAGGCCCAAATGATAATGTCATGGGTTTGGAAGCTTTTAATAGGTTAATTGGCAACATTTGAGTTAATTGGAGGCACACCTCAAACACACTGCTTCCTTTTATAACAACATGGGAAAATCTAAAGAAATCAGCCAAGATATCAGGAAGAGAATTGTGGACCTCCACAAGTCTGGTTCATCCTTGGGTACAATTTCCAGATGCCTGACGGATCCACGTTCATCTGTTTAAACAATTATAAGCAAGTATAAACACCATGGGGATGTCCAGCCATCATAGCGCTTAGGAAGGAGACGGGTTCTGTGTCCCAGAGATGAAGTGTTTTGGTGCGTATTGTGCGTATCACCCCCGGAACAGACGTTGTGGAGCTTGTGCTGATGCTGCTGAGGGTGTTTCGTTATTGTCATTGTCCCCAGTGCTGTCCGTCCTTTGGTTGCATGGGTTGTCAGGGTGGTCGGAGAGGTTGCTGCCATTGCTGCATAAGCAGCCTGGTTACGTTTTGTTACTTTTTGTATGTGCACAGAGGTTCATTTTTGTTGATTTTTGGTGTGGTTTGCTGCTGCTACTATTGTTGTGTTTTTTGGTCGTGATGTTTTTTGTTTTTTTTGGGGGGAGGGGGGGGCTTGTTGGCCTGCTGAGACCATCCTCCCTGCTGCGTAGTACGGTGGTGGCATTATGTTGTTGTGGTGTTTTTTTGCTGGAGGGGGTGCTGCTGTTCTTCACATAGTTGGTGTCATGATGAGGGAAGATTATTTTGTGATATTGTTGCAGCATCTTCTGACGTCAGCCAGGAAGTTAAAGCTTGGGCCCAAGTGGGTCTTCCAAATGGACAATGACCCTAAGCATACCACCAAATTAGTTACAAAGAGGCTTCAGGACAACAAAGTCAGTGTTTTGGAGTGGCCATCACAAAGCCCTGATCTCAATCCTGTAGAAAATTTGTGGGCAGAGCTGAAAAGGCGTGTGGAGCAAGATGGCCAACAAACCTGACTCAGTTTCACCAGTTCTGTCAGGAGGAATGGGCCAGAATTCATCAAACTATTGTGAGAAGCTTGTGGAAGGAAATCCAAAATGTTTGACCCAAGACATACAATTTAAAGGCAATGCTACCAAATACTAAGAAAATGTACGTAAACTTCCGAATTTAAAGAAAGTAATAAAAAAAAATCTCTAAAAATTCTCTGTCATTATTCTGGGATTTAGCAAATAGAAATCATTTTGGTAATCCTATCTGACCTACAACAACAGGAAAAGTTTAGTCACATTTAATGTCAGATAGTGAGAAAAAAAAAGGTTATGTGTCTTTTTGTACAGTGTATGTAAACTTCTAGTTTTTGACTATATGTTCTCTTTTTAATTGGACCTTAATGTTTACTATGTGTCACTTCCTGATTCGTCACACTCCTATCATGGGACCAAGAATGAGCCTTGACTACCAGTGGTCAGTTCACGATTGATAAAGAATTAGAGGTGTTGCTGTGATGTTTGTCTGTGCTAGCAGCTGGTGTGCGGTTAAGGTAATCTCAGCTCTCTCTTTGTACCACTGCTTTATATTGAAAAATTTCTACAGCTAAGCAACCAAACCCCTGCCTCTTGCTTACAACACCACCTGTATGCCCAGTGTACGTCAGTGGTCATGTGATTCGTATTTTCTGGTGCATTAGTACGCATGGAGAGTATTTCTGACACTGAGCTAAAGCACTTGTCTGGATAGAGGTTGTTTTCGATCTTGATTGTCATTTTGAAATGAAACTGTATTCGTGCAGATGTTGCCTGTATATGGTACAATTTAGCCTAGACTGCCAAGGTGCAGACTGTGTGGATCACAGCTTCTGCAGAGGGGGTATTGGTAAGAGACCAAGAGCTGCAAATGATGATGTCATGGCTTATAAATAATCCAGTACAACAACTTCTGCCAACATGCTAATTAGCAGCTATTGGCCCTGAGAGAATATTTTGAAAGTCGGATCAGATTTGAAGATATATTCATGGCAGCAGCCCAAAATCATCAGGCTTGTCTTAGCATAGACTCAAAGGTTTTGTTAAGAGTAAATCCTTCTCTCACAATGTACTGAATATGTGCCCACCTTTTGGTGTCAATAACTTCAACTGCAGTACAACATGCACATAACGAACAATTGGTTTTTCAAATGGGTGAACAGGTCATTGCCAGTTTTGATAGTCTTCCTTTGGACTGCCGTAGTACCAACGCACTTATAGGCAAGTCTCACCACTCTGTAGCCATCGTGTTAATAGGCGTGGGCAGTTGGTTTGGGCAAGCAAGATCCAATCCCTATCTGAATGAATCAGAGTCAAACCTGCATTGCCAAAGTCCACTGAGAAAAAAAAAAGTGAATGTATAGAATCACTGCTTAAATCTCATTAAATTTAAAAAAAAAAACATGCAAAACGGTTGGTGACTTTACCTCAGAATAAGGTTTTAAAAGTGTTTTCCCTGTATATTATGCTTTTACTGCTCCACTATTCAGGATTCTTTAAGCGGCAAGTGTCTCCCTTATAATGTCTCTGATAGTACTTCAACACAACTGGTGTGGGTTTGTTTTGTGCCTCAGTAGTAGTGAGGTGGGTGGTATTACATGAAAATGAGATGTCAGTGCATGCCTTCTGTGCTCTGTGTGTTATGTGTTGTTGAGCAAATCTGTTGGATTTGGAGGAAACCAAAATATATTCTTCAAAACTTTAAATTAGCTATATAATACTAAAAATAACCTACTAGAATAGAAGTTGCCAAGTGTAGTGTTTGTGTAGAACAGATCAATAATAGGGGAATGTGTAAATGCATTTTCTCAGTAAATGATTTTTAATAAGTTCCCACTAATATCCAAATCCTGTTGGGTTTTTTTTTTCTTTACTCCTACAGTTGAGGCTCAAGATTAGATTTGTTTAAGTTAGAACAGGCATGAATGGTTCTCAGAGCATCTTGCATTTAATTTAAAGTCAGCTGTAGTCAATCTGGTAAAGTGAATTGAAAGTAATTCTCTGGCTTTGTTTTCATTACTCGTTCTCTCTGCTCTCAACAGGATCCAGCAGTTGTTCATGGAGTTGTTGTCTAACAGCAGGCAGCTGCGGTGGTTGTCCTGTAGCTTCATGCTGGGTCTCGTGACTCCCTGTTCCTTAGCCTGTCTGTCAAATCCTTCAGCTGAGACTCTGCAGCACCTCAGTTTGCTGGACCACCAGCTAGGCATGTATTTGTATCTAACTTCACACGCTGTGCACACACTACATGACTGAATAGCCTCTTCCACGTTTAATTCGTAAGCAGGGCTGGCACTTTTATATTAAGTTTGTACAACTGTGAACTTTCCTTAGGTCCCCTCATCTCACCATCAGAGCTAGATCGTCTCTCTAACCTTCATTCTCTGGCTCTGGATTTTTCTGACTTGACATCTGAGCTTTGCGGTTTGCTGGCATCTCCTCGCCGAACTCCACTGCATCGCCTGTCCCTGCTGCTCAATGGCGCCGCCCTGGAGTTCAAACCATTAGAAGGGACAGCTACAGAGGATGACTGGAAGGCACTGGTAATACAGCAATCTGTGATTGTGTTGTAGGATCTGTTTGTTTGTGTTTACACTGGAACATTTTCATACACCACTAATCACGAATCAGCAGTGGCATATCAGTAAGTCTCAATGTCTACAACAGTCAAATTTATCCAATCCTCTGCAGGTTCGTGTGAGTGCCAACCTACGAGTGTACATTATGGCCCTAGAAGTCGACAGTTCTGAGCTCCTCAGGGTCCTAAAGCCTAGCCTTCCCCTGGAGCGGCTTCACCTCGACAGTTACAGCACGCTGGTGACCGACGCCACACTGGAGCTCATCTCTCAGCAGTACAACAAAACGCTGACTCATTTTCTTCTCCTGAGGGATGGCTCCGACTTCCCTGACCTCAGTGTCAATCGCAACGAAGACCCATTGGTCCTCTTGGCATGGAGATGTACTCAGCTGGCTGTGCTGGTGATACATGGTGAGTTGAGCTGGTTGATTGAGGGATTTAAGGTGACCTCTGGTCTGAGCTGGCACTACCTTATGAAGGTATATACAAGTAAGTCAAGTGGTTATGTAGACATTGGTCCAGGCTTGTTGGAAGTGATTTGAATGCGTTTAGGTTTGTGCAAATGGCCACTTTACAAAATTGATTAGCACACCATTTTGATGGCTGACTATTGACAAGCTGACAGTCACTTACATGAGAGCAGTACAGCAAGTTGTAGACACTATTGTGTCTCAGCAGACACTTTTTCTGCAGGCCACCTGTTTTTCAGGGCAACAATGTGAGATGAGGAACTGACAAATTAATTGAAGGAAGCTTGGTCCTAATTACTGTGAATTTCCAGTAATGTACGTACTGTCATGCCCTGTTTTGTGTGTTTTGTGTTGTATGTAAATCCTTATTCTTAGTGTTTGCAAGATTAGTGCAACCACCCTGAACTCATCTTTCTCCTTTTAGGTTACACTGTGTGGTCCCATAACTTGGTGGCCATCTCTCGCCTGCGAGGCTCCAGTCTTCGTGTCTTGACCGTCTCTGAGGAGAGCATCGACTTTGACCCAGACCAGTCGGTGTACATGGAGGGCGACCCTGTCCATAACCTGGTTAAGGAAGTTTCTCTGGGCCTTGGCCGTGTGTGGCACCCTTGCCTGGATTCCAGCCTGGTTTTGTCTGAACCCACCCAGCACTTTCACCGCGAGCTGCAAACCTTCAGCATGGGCATGTAGGCACGGGATGGCAAGCCGAACACATCACAGCCTAAACTGTGTCAAGATCAGGCCAGACCACCCAAGTCCAGGTCAACTCAGACCTCTTCACCAGGCCAAAAGCAGACCAAAGTGAGAAATCTTTAAACAATCTATAAATTACATTTATGTGCACTTACGTGAGCTGATTGTCTTTTATTATATTTTAATTTTTTTCAGTTTGTTTTGTAAGGGTTTTAGCTTACAATCAAGTCCTACAATTTTCAAATAGATCCTGAGTTTTTTTTTTTGTTTGTTTTTTCTCCAGATTATCTAGTTAGCTTGAAAAAACTGAATCAACATTTGTTGCTTTAAGTATATTTTAGAGTTGAGACTGTTTGCCTAAAACTGCACACTCTAATTAAAATGTGGTATTCATTCAGTGTGAATGAATACGACTCTTAAGATCTGACAACTGGCAAGACTTAAAACATTTTACTTTGTCTGCTAAAATGGGTCATCCTCCTGCTTCAAACACCAGCCTGGCCCAGTCTGGTCTGGTCTGGTCTTGCCCACAAGTATTCAGAGCTCTCTTCTTCACCTTAATAACCTCCAGAGCCTATGTATAATGTAACCTTGATTTGTTTCTTTTTTTTCTTTTTTCTTTTTCTTTTTGACTGTTTTCCATCTCTCACTGCTCTGTGTATAATCTTGTTTTTCCTGCGTGGTGGTTCCCTTGCCTGTATAGGCTTTGTGTGTATTTAAATACAGATATATTATTATCCTGCTCACAGCAAGAACAGGACAGGCAGGCAGGTTGAGTGATGAACCGATAGGATTTAAGATGGGATCTGTTTTGAGACAAAAGCTATTAGCTTTTCTTTTTTCTTTTTTTATTTAATCTTTGCTCTGTGTCAGTCTGTCTGCTCCACTCTAGCAAAAGTTGGAGTTTGTAAACTACCCAATCAATGAGTTCCTGGGTACCATAGCTGCTTCTTCTGTTGCTCTGAAAGAGCACCTTGTGCACTTGTCCACTAGTTGAAGAGCCTTGCCAGCAGGGTGGGAAATTCCACTGTAAAATGGCTGACTGTGGCCTGTGCTAATCAATGCAGTTTTCACCAACAGTCATGTCAGCGCCATGACACAGAGTGGCATTTCAAAGCCAAATGGTTTTATTTTGGGGTTTTGAGCACTTCACCAATGGTGTTATGGAGAATATTGTTACATGCTTGCCGCCAACATACTTCCCATCCTGCTTACTTGTTGACTTTTTTTGGGAAACCTCACGTCAGAAAAATTGGAAGCCTTTTCTTCTAACTGACACTCAGAGCCAAACTATAAATTTCAACCCATTACAGTACAGTACACCACTCCTGTGTTCTGTTTTGAGCTGTAATGAGCTGGCGGTTAATCTTTGCATCTTTTTCTATATTCAGAGTGAATATATCTGCCTTTCTGATAACTATCAGTGGTTTCAGAGCCCTTTTGTATTAAACCGGTTGCTTCTGTCATTTGGTATCCTGATAACAATTCCTATTACTTGCTAACAAGAAGGCATCAGAGGGGAACCTTGACATAGGGTCAAAGAAAAGAGCCAAATGTGCACCATGATATGAAAGGGCTCTGAGATCAAAGACATCTTCAGATAGTCCTGCAATATTCTAGAGACAAAAGGGGGGTTTCTTTCATTATGCCATAAATAACTGTGTTTTGAGAAATCTATTTTCTCTATAACTGCTTCCAAATTCTTGGTGAGGCTATGCTAAAACATCAGCAGTATTCTTTAGGCGCAGCTTCCTAAGATGGTAAATACCAAACTGAGGTTTTGCAGTCATGCCAGCAGTACTGTAAGTAGGAACCAGTTTTTCTCAGTGGCAGAAATCTTGTTTTAGGAGTAGAACATTTCATGATTAAGAACAGGGAAAAGAAAAGGATGCACTGAATGTAATTTAACTCGCATTTCTTATTCTGTTGGCCAGTCAGTCAGCTTTTTGTTCTACATTGAAGGCTTACTGTATAGCTGTATTTGCCACAGAAATTTGGCAAATGCAAATCTTGCCAGGACAACTGAATAACGGAGTTTGAACATTGTAGGTTCCACTGACAGCCAAGACTACTTTTTTTCTTTGTTTTTTTGGGGGAGCAATGGCGCCTACAGCACAACAAGGTTTCGGGTCTCGTGGCTCTTTTCTGTGGCGAAAAGTTCTTCTTTGTCAGTCTCAGGTAGGTTTTTAACATCACTATGACCAAGACAGTGGTGGTGATGATGTTGTGTGGGATGTGCGAAACAATCAGTAAATGTGAGAAGTAGTTTTTTCTTTTCTGTTTTTTTTCCTCTTGAGTCACAGTTGCCTTGGAAACAGCCCTTTGTTTTCTGGATACAGTTGTTGTTGTTGATGATGATGTTGTTTATCTTGCCATCTGATAAACCCTCGCTACACCTCGGTTGGAGGGTCAGCAAACCTAATCATACATTTGTTTTAAAAAGATTAAGGTTGATAAAGGCTAAAGAATGGCAAAACCAAGCTGCTCATTGCACGTGTTTTATATCTCCTGTAGATATTGAGGGGGACAGAGAGTGGCCGTGGAGCGGTAAAAAATCTATGCTGTCAATAGAGGACCTGCTGGGCCTAATTAATGTCTGAACGGATGGTAGTCAGTTTTCTAGGGTGAAATGATTTCTGCCTGACACAGTGGATCTTGTCTGGCTTGTTCTTTGATATCTATTCACAAAGGCATGACTTGGATTATATCCCAGTGTGAATGCCTTTGTTCTAAAAAATGAAATGAATGTTATTCAGGCTCTTTGGAAGTGCTAGTATTCCATGTCAAGGGTCAAGCCAGGCACTGTAGACCAAATAGTTTAAGCTCCAGATAAACGTGAGTATCATTAGTTGATTTGGCCCAGTATGGTTACATGTGAAGCTCTAGTGTTGTTTCTGCTGAGTGGTTATGGGAGCCATTGTGCACTTGTGTCTTGCAAAGGCATTTCCTGTGCTGAGTTGGGATTTTAACAGGAAAATCAATGTTAGGTCCGTCCTAACTGTCCTGGGTCAACCAGCCCCTGTCACAAATGTTACCCAATCAAATGGCTTCAGCTCAGACTTAGTTGTATACAACATGGAATTGAGGATTTGTGGGATAATGACACTGCAGACTGTGAAGGTCCATATCAAGGTGTATAGTTTACAAGGTTGATCTGCGATTATTTTTTTTCCTGATATGGAACCAGCGTCATACAGTGTGCCAGCACTTTGCTAGCTTCAGAATAATTTGGTCCTAGTGATCGGCCCGTGGATACCAAATGTTTGCTCGTCTGTTAAGGCACCTTGATGGTTTAGCCATGATAATCTCTCTAGTCCTTGGTTCATATCTCAGGATTAATGCACTTTGGTACCAAGAGTTACTTTTAAAGGCTGTCTGTGGCTGTATATAGCGCTGTACACTCACATAGTCAGAGGGGATAGAAAGACCAACATCACACATTCAGACCAAAATGTGTTGGTTTTTATCTTATCTTCCTTCTCCCCTCTTCTCCTTTTCCCCTCATTGCTTTTAAGCGCTCATCTTTGTTCCTTTTATGTGAGACATTTAAGCTGTTACAGCTTTGTATTGTGTGTAGATATCGGCTGAGTATGGGGCAGGAAAAAAAAACACAGTTTTTAGTTGAATGTAATGTCAAACTAGGTAGTTATCTCAGCTAAGCAAGTAGATTTTTACTCACAACTGATTTTAAAATTTACAGGCTCCACTCCCACTTCCTCCTCTGTTTCCTGTCTTCTCAAGTCTTTAGATTTTAGTGGCTACTCACTCGTAGTTAGATTTTGTTTGGGCAGCCCAATGTAGCCCTTGTGGCAGTGTTTCTGCCCAGAATAAAAGGAGGGCCTGTGGTTTTTACCAGAAATAGCCAGGTCAAGCAGAAGATGTTTGATTTAGCTATGATAATTCAAGTCACACAGTGTATAACAAGTATTCCTCTAGTCATAGTCACCTTGCAGACAGTTTCAGGAATATTTATGCCATAAAACTGGAGGTAGAAACATCAAAACACATCCAAGTTTTAGTGAAGGTGTTGTGGAGAGAGTTCTTGTTTTGTCCGTGTAAGGAGAGAAGAGGTGAGAAAGTTCTGCCCGGTGTAACAACGCTAACAGGCAAATTACTTCAGATAGGTTTTGACCAATGCTGGGACAACCATGCATAGCATAACTTTTGAAAACTACCACCAGTGGAAAAACAACCAGTCCCTGATACCTATGTGTCATCACCAATAGCTAAATATTGAGCCACCTTGTGCCTGAAAGCCCCTGGAGTCTCACTGCTTTTCAAACCTCAGCTCTCCCCTGTTATTGGCTTTGTGTTAGGTGTTAGTCGTTGCTGTGATTGTTAGTTCACTCTTTAGGGATGCAGCGTTGTGAGCTACAGTGGCGAAGATTTCACCACTCGTGTTTGAATTTCTCTTGGAGCGTGCCTGTATTTTCTGCGCAAGTTTTCATGTGTATCCAGTAGAAATGTGTGATTAAGATGTGTATGTGAACCAGCTGTCAGCCGTGCAGCCATCATACATTTTCTGCATGCGTGTGTGTGTGATTATGTGTATTTAAGAGGGGCTTGCTTATGTTCAGCAGTGTAGTCTTATCACTTCCACTGCAGCAGGAAACAGGAACAGAAATCGTTCGTTCTCAGGGTACAATTGGTTTTCAAAACGGAGGAGGATGAAAAGTAACAGTAGCTCAGGCCTCTAGCTCGCTCATATGGATATTAGGAGTCACTGGATCTGTTCTCCTCCCTTGATGTGTTCTAAGCTGCCAAAGACCACAGTGGAAGAACCCAGACTCGAGTCTATCTGAAGTGCCCGCGTACACTCACAAACACACATTGGCGGGAGGCTGGTCCAGTATTCTTTTCTCCTCCACACCTCCCAGTACTTTCTGTTCTGACATTTATCTGCTCTTTTTCCAACTCTTAGTTTCTTCCACTGACTAGTAATACTCTGCTTTTGTGTGTCCACACTCTGTCCTTGCTATACTTTGGTCCGTACTGTGCTGGACCTGGTAAAATGTCAACGGTCTCGTCATGTGGTTGTAGTGAATATAGACCAAAGCAACAAAGGTTTGGCCTGTCTTGTGTTAGCGGCTGAAGCCTGTGTGTAGTCGCACAGGACTGTGTTTTGGAAAGCGTTACTGGTCGTTTATTTCCATCTTGTTACTTAATAAGGGTTAGCACCATTGTTGCACAACTTGTACAATGTGGCCAAATTCTTACCTCTGAATGGCACTCAGGGTCTACAGTGCATGTTGCTGAGGCGTCATAGATCGAAGCCAGACCTGTCCAGTGCAGTACAGTTCTATAGTGTGACAGAGGCTTAAACAGAGAGGTCTGGAGTTGGACCGCTCACCACCATATTCTTCCCTCTTTCTCTTTCCTGTCCACCACCTGTTTCACTGTGAGGAGAGAGTGAATGTAAACCTAAAGGCGAGGAGAACGAAGAGTTTGGTTCAATCTTAGAACAGGTCAAGGACTAAACACTCCCACAGATGCTTCCAGAAGTTACAGAAAGCAGCTTCCCAGCCAGGACAATGGCCCGTGTGTCTGATGTGATGTGTTGAATGGCTCGTAGCCGAGGTCAAATTTGATGGGAGGTGTTTAGTCCTGGGCTTTTGTAGCTGTAAAGTGATTTGCTGCTAGAGATCTGCTAGGAACAGGACATTCCACGCGGGGGTCGCTCAGGCCGTCTGACTAGCAAACCGTTTACTACATGGCTACAATGTCTGCATGAAAATTAGACTCTATATACTGATATATTCTATTTTTTTTACTTTTAATGGTCTGTTTTTGAAGGGATCGGGGATGCAGCTTGTACTGATGAGTCACACCAGATCAGCAGCTGGTCTGAGCAGAGTGGAGGTGTGATACCATTTAGAAGTGGATGTTCAGAGTGTGTCGCTCTTTCAAAGGTCAACTGTGTTTCTACTGTCTGTTTCTGCGATGCCGTGCTTCAGCATCCTGAGGCCATTTTGGGGCCTTTTGTGTCCGGTACACAAAAAGTCACAAGTTAAAGCAACTTGATGTGACTGTTAAATATGAGGACTAACCGCTTTTTGCATGAATACATACTTTGAATCAATCTGGAAAATAAAGAACATCACAATGCAAAAGGAGGGTGTTAGTCTGCATATTTAGGGCACACAGAAGTCACAGTGCATATTCACTATGGACACACAGGAGCTTGGCCTGGACTTATTTACACATCATATGCAGACAAAGGTTTGACTATGCTATACTGTGTACACACAGAAAGACTGAATGACACACAACTAGTAGAGCCTTATTTTTAGTGAGGCCTGCCATGACACTGACAGGTCTGAAGGCTCTGGAGGGGAGATGGGGTGTCAGTTTTTCAAGAGACCATTACCAGCAGTTACTGTACACTCACATAGTTGCAGCAAGTTTCAGTCTGCCCTTTTGACCTTTTACGCTTTTTTTTTTTTCATGCTCTTATTGTGCATTCATAAAGTATTCCTCAAAGACAGCAGGGCCCGGTGGCCTGATGAGTAATTGAATCCACAGAGCTGGCCTCTAATGCAGTCCATCTGAAACAGTTGGCCTTGACCGCGTGTTCAAACTGTTGTCATTGCAGAACTGTAAATATCCTGTCTGTCTGTTTAAGCCCATATACAAAGAGTTGGGTTCGACACTTCTGTGCTAACACGTAATAGCCAATACTAATACCATTGACAGGGACAGGAGTGTGAGTGTGGGTTATTTTAGTACCAAAGCAGCAGACTGTGTCAAATCTGCATCAGTCTAAACACAGGCTCAGAGCCACAGGCAAACACTCATCAGACATCACTAGTCTCATTTCCACTTTGATCATAGCTCAGACTCAATGCCAGCTCGAGAGTTTGTAATGTTGACTCTCAGGATGTTTGCAGTGTTCTGGAAACTAAACTTAAAAATAGCTGAAGAAAAGAGGTAGTAAGATGGTTCTGGGTCTAAACTGTCCCTAAAGACATTCAGGGGCAGTTTAATGTTTCTGAAGGGATTAACATTAAGACACAGGGTTTCCTCATCACGAAATTCTATTTGTTTATTTTTTAAATCAAAATGCTACAACCATAGACTACTACCAGTACTTGCGAAACTGAATGAGCTCCCAGAGGCCTGGACTCGTGCAGGAATGTGACAAATCTGATTAACATCCTGATATGTTTTAGTGACTTGGAGAAAAACACTGGATGTGCATTGCACTGGTATAAAATCAGTCCTGTGCAACAGATGTAGATAGATAGTGTATGAGGCTAGATACACTCACAGTGAGGGGGAGGCTCACACAGACCAAGGCCATTAGCAGTTAGCCACACTGAGAGGAAGTTTGGATTCTCCAGTTTTTAGCCATAGCTGAGACTAAAACCTGTTCTCCAGCCAGTTTCTGATGATGATCGCAGCATGAGTGGGATATTGAGGGTATTATCATTTACTTGCTACTCTGTAGTTCTAGAGAAGAAATGACAAAATGGCACTGATAGCATAACCTGGCCAAATTCTGTCAGCAGCTCTGGTGCATACGGAGATTCGTGCAGCGCCTGGCTATATCAAGGAACTGATAGATATTCATGCTCAGTGTCAGCCAACGATCTTCATTTAGATCTCAGCTACTGTGGCTCTGATGTTTCTGGCTGGTAAACAAAGTCTTTCTTGTCAAGTCTGGAGAGCCAAACCTCCTAATTAGCCAGGCAGGCAGGCCTGCTGCCCAGTCCAGCCTCACAACTATGCAAGAGGAATGCATATAATCCACACTCACTTTTTTTTTTCTTCAGTTTTTATATTTTCTTTTTCTCACCGTCACACAGTAGAAGTGAAGATGTAAACCAATAAGAACTTGCAATGACAATACTTGGCCTTATGATGATTTATGAAATCTTATCATTTAGTTTTAAGATCTTTTGATTCTGGTCAGCCAGCCCAGCGACAGCAGCGGTGACGGCGGGCTCACTCTTGGTCTCTGTGAGACTGGCTAGACGGCCCCAGTTTTATCGTGGTACGAATGTTGTGCATTTGTTTAAAATCAGGACAGTTTGCAATAACAGCAGTCTTACCAGTGGCCACAAAGGGGCACAAGCAGTGCTGACGGCGCCCGGCTGCGTCTTTAGAAAACCATAGAGGAAGAAATATAAACTATATAAATAGATATATTAACTCACACAGTGCATATTTGTATAGGTATCAACAATGCATTACCGTGGTATACTCTTATGCAACACATGTCCGGGTTCAATTTATGAACATGAAGTATATTATGAAATCACACAGACTTTGTAAATCAGAAGCTATGTTGTTGTGTGTTTTTTGCAAAAATGGTTTTACCATCCTTAATGTTGAATATTCTGAGTGTAATGTTCCTGTGTGATTGTGTTTGTTAAAGTGAGCACACAGCACTGGGTTTTACCTTCTTCCTGTAAGCAGGGAATCGGACTGAACCCAAAACACAGCTGGACAAACGTCAGATACTACAGAGAATATTTCAGATGATCATATTTACAAAAGTTCAAAATCTGATCTGCACAGAGCTTTGAATATTGGTGTATAAATTAGACAAACCCGAATTGTATGATAATGTTTCTTACAGAGCAACATGACTTGGTAAGGCCAAGCAAAGCAGAATTCCACCTTAAAGAATATAGTAAAGAAATCATTTTTAGTCAAGGGCCTGACTGACCTTTGATAAATTTGAAGTCTGAAATCACAATATTGTAATTTCAAATCTTCTCAGCTGTTTTTTGGATTAGTCTGCAGAGAAAGAGTCCTCTATAGCTAAGAGGACAGATTTTATCATTGAGAACAGTGTTGATCCATGGTTCTGTTGTGGAGAAAAGGGAGGGCGCATTACAAACCTCCATGTGAAACCTCTTAACTGACAGATGGCGTACACTTTAGGGGTCAACCTGCCGAATGTTGATTTGAATTAATGTTGAATGAATGCTTCTCTTCTTTTAGTCAGTGAATAAAAACATTAAAAAGTCACTTGCTTCCTTTGTGTCTTATTGCTTTTTTGTGTCTGCCGTTTGTAGCTCTGGAGTTACTACATGTTAGTTTGAGGAAACGCACAGATCTTAATCCAACTGCTGTTATTAAAGCCAAGGTAGATTTGTTTTTAGATTCCACAATCTCCAGTGATGAAGCCAAACCTCTGTACTAACTACTGGAGAACAATGAGAGGCAAACTGTATACTGGAAGCTCAGGTTACATGGACAACATTTCTTTAGTCTGATTGAAGTCACTCTGATTGGAGATTCTAACTTTGCTGTTTACATAAATATAAATATCTGACAAGATGCACAATTACATGCCCCAAAGCCTTGAATGAGCATATAACTTGACATGTTTTAAGTGACTGCCCAGTGTGATGCATAAATATAACAGAATAAGAAGGAGTTTATGCAGCACATACTTCTTCTGCAATCTTTAAACCAGGAGAGAGAGCAAGAGAGGGCCTTTACAGCTCATTAGGAACGGTAAACTTGATGTCTCTTCCTCTGCCAAACATTAGGAGCCGGTGGATGAAAGTGTAAAGCAAAGACTGCTGGGAGAGAGAGTTGTTCTAATGGAGTTTACTGGTCAGGAATGGAATGTGGGTAAACATGCACAAAAAGAATATACTATATGTTTCCCAACCAGAAAGAAATGATCGGATTAAGAATGAATATGTTTACTGGACATTTTCTTATTGAACCGATTGTGAAAAGGTTATTACACCACCCTTCTCAATCTGATTGGAATTTCCTTCTGATCTGCCTGAATTGGGTCTCTTGCGATTAAGGGGTTTATGTGAGGATTTTTTAATTTTTTTTACCTGAATGGGCTAATATTCCAATTATTAGTGAAACATTAGGAACATTTACATAAACACGTTTGGTGGTCTACTTCCTCTGTAGAAGAGCTGGGAGCCTATAGATGTCTGTATATAGAAGCTCACTGTGCTGCATATACACAGATTCTCACAAAATGCCTGACATTACCAAGCAAACAAGCAACACTTTGTGGTTCCCTCAGCTGGTGTCTGTTTTTCTGTGTCGTACAAAGCGTGAGCTCGCTCACCTGACCACATTGCAGCTGAGCTTTCAAATAGAAAACAGAAAGTAGTCTCTGAGCTTAAGACTGAATGTCATTTCAAGACTGCCGAAAACCCAAATAAAAAATCTTATGGCTTCCCTCTGTTCACCTCTTGTGAATGCTTAGCAGCTGGAGAACACACAGGCTATGTACTGTGTGTTTATATGGTTCCGTCTGAGGGAGAACAGACGATGAGGAGCTAATACAAGCTGCACTCAGTGGACCAACACAGAAGGGCTCAGTAACACCTCTCTGCACTGCACCGCGGGGCTTTCCCTCGAGTGAGGCGGCAACATGAAACACTTGCAAATGAAATTCAACCTCTGTCACCATGACAACGCAACAATGGGAAACGCTGGGAAAATCGGCTCAAATTGTTGGTTAATGGTGAGCAGGGAGAGGGGAGGGCAACGGAGGAGAAAGAGATACTGATAGACTGCAGACAGACAGGGAGAATGATAGTTTTCATTTTCACCTCTCCACCCCTTTTCTTCACATTTTGATTATTAAATATGTAAAACATACTGGAAATATAAGATGTGTGCAACCCATCTATATCAATGTATTTATCATCCTGTCCAACCCCATTTTTTTCCAACAAGATTATTTAAGTGCAAAAGTGCAGTGGCATCATGATTATATATTCATTGTATGCTTGAAAAGTGTTGGAAACACATCGAGGATACAAATGAGATAATCACTGATGCAGACAAAGGTGACACAAGGGTGGGACGTTTTCTTTAACATAGAGAAACTCACTTTTTGTAAGGTAGTAGCCGAGCTGGTATTACCACAGGCTTTTGTCTGTAACCTTTTTGTAACTTGCCAACACTTCCATGATCATTATAGGATGAGTCACACAGCGCTAACAAGAAGGAGTCTGCTACCATTGAGGTTTGTCAGCTTTATGAGACATCAAAATGTTTTTTAATGGACGGGAATGATCGTTCTACGGCTGTCTGATGTCAGTGTTTGCTCTCTGAAACACATGTGGTAACACAACAGAGAAATCCAGGGCTCAGACTAAGAACCTGTTCTCGTCTGGATATTGAGACTAAAAGATTATCATGTTGGTGTTACACAATTAAGCTGAAACAATAACACTTTTTTTTCACTGTGCAGGTCACAAACAACACATTCAAATAGACAGGGATAGAAACATGGTTGCACTCTATAAATCAGTGCAGGATGGTCTGCACTGGTAGCAGTTGGATGGAACTTGAGCGACACAGCAGAAATCCAGCTGTACCACATGTCGATATGAAGCAGGAAATCAGCTGTGGTTTGATGTTTGGTTTTTTACTTTGATATGCAAGTGCTGCAAGAGCAGGACTCAAACGAGTTTTATTTTCAGTCTTGGACTCGCACTTCAGAGCTGGCGTTCTCAGCACGCTGCAGGTTGTGATTCATATCAAAAGAGACAAGCAGGCACACAGAACCTGGCTGTCAAGTGAGGAGGGAGTAGACAGGAGAAATAAAATAAATGAGCGCTCTCTTCTCCCCTGTTCTACATACAATCTCAAGAGAGACATGTTTATTTAATTCTTGGAAAGATTCACATGTTTCATGACTTAAGTTTTTGTTTTTTTGAAATTTGTCACTTTTCATGGATCATCAGCGTAAGAATATGCTGCACTAAATTAAAGTTGTTTCTTACGTGTAGTGCTCTCGTTTCTTATGAGTTTTGTGACTTCTGAGAACGTTCAGAAATCCTCTGAGTACATTTCATATGTAGGCAAATCAAGTTCAAAGAAAGATTCCCAGTTGAATGTCTCTGACATTAGGGTTTCACATAAATTGGTTTTATGGGCTTTAAATACTAGATTCTTTGTTTCCCTTTAGTTGTTTCTCAGAGGAAGCATTCTGAAACAAACCAGCATGTTTTTATTTGGGTGTACCAGTGCAAGTCCTAACATGCTGCTACACTACTTGCATACACCTTTGACTGAAAGAGCACAAAGCTTACTCTAATCTTGTTCAGTTTCACAAGAAAACTGATTTTTAAAAAAATTCCAGTAAACATTAGGACAAATATCTATAAGTTAATTATTGCTTTTTTTTTTATTTGTTTAGCTTTGTTAACATGATGCAAACCACCAGAATGTGTTACCATGGGCTTTAAGGATCATGATAAACATTGTTCACTGTTTTAAACATTTTGTACATCATGTACAGATACAGGACCTTATAAGACCTCCATTCTGGCTATCGTATGACCATGTACAGGTCTTTCCAAGAGGACTGTGTGATGGCAAGTTCATCAATCATTCTCTGGCATTGAACATGCTTCACAGCACTTCTAATGGGTCCTAAAGATTTTCTATCAATCTCATGCTTTCATCTTAATGTTAGATTTTAACATATGTGATTATATACTCTGCATGTACAGTAAATATACAGAAAAACATGGTTTACATGGATGTATATTTGATTATATGTTGCCACAGTAGAGTATGTAGTCACATTGCAGACAACTTTATTTATAATATATAATATATAAATGTGTTTAGCTTACTTTTAAAGAAGGCTGCATTTGGGGAAAAACTAGATTGTGTAGATTTAAGTGGGGGTGCAGGGGGAACGTTTCTTTCAGTATTTAGAGCACCAGCATGTGTTCTCCTGGCAGCAGTGATAATATCGAATGAAATAAGTTAATGCAATGCAGAATAAAACAGAACAATAAAAAAACAATACAGAATTCCTTCCATTCTATTTTAATTTACTACCTGATGCGAGAATTTCGTGTTTCCTTTCACATAAAGGAAGATGTTTCCATCACAGTGGAGCGGAACTGCCATCAGCAGCATGACAGCTGTGTTTCAGAGCAGCAGGGGGCGGCAGTGCACCGCAATGTCAGCTACCGTTTTAAAAACCACAAGAAGAAGAAGAAATGCTCTGCGAACGTAGAAGAAGAAGAACACGTGATTCGCGCTAACTGGAAGCAAGATGGCGGTGGCGGTGCGGAGCTTGCAAGACCAGCTCGAAAAAGCCAAGGAAAGCTTAAAAAATGTGGACGATAATATTCGCAAATTGACCGGACGGGATCCCAATGAGTCAAGGTGAAACTGCTCAATGATTATTTAGCTTTTGCTGTCGTTATAGCGGTAAACTAGCCAGCTTGCTAGTACTCACGCGACAATCGACGTGTGCTAGGTTAGCATGAGTCGGCTAACAAGCAAACAGTACCACCTCCTTGTTGTTTTGTAGCTGAGTCTACATAAGCTTAAGCATGCCCGACTTGCCTATTTAGACACACAAAGTCATTTTAAAAAGCTGAATTTGTACCTACCTATAACCTTGCAGTGAAATATCAAACAGTTTAGGTCAACAATGTGTAGGCCCAGTAGTAGGCGTCGTCCAGTCTCCACTCACTCCTGTTTATGGCGCTGCTTTTATTAAAGTCACGTCGTTGCCGAAAACAATATCAACGTTTCCATGAATGATATGAATCGATAGAACAACTGGTTTTGCTTTTGTGTTGACCTTATTTGTTGCTGTGTTTACAGACCGGGCCAGGTCCGTCGGCTCGGCGGCCCCATAGCAGGCCTCGGAGGAGGTAGAGGCAGAGGAATCAACCTGCTCAGGTAAACCAGTGGTTTAACCCACTTTGCACAAAGATTTAGTATTTTTTCCGATTGGCTATCGACACACTCAGTGGATGTGGACAAATGATTACACAAGCCGTTGCAATGTGTAAACGTGAAAAAAGACTGTTTAATTTTGACCGTGCAGAAACAGTCAGACACACCGGACAAAGGGCCTTTCAGAACCCGCCAGGATTTAGTTCATTTAGGTTAGAGTGTCTGTGGGATTTACTAAAATAAGTCTTTTCTATAATGTGTTTCATGGTCAATAACCACCGCTACAGTTAATTGCAAATTACTTAATCAAAGCACCTCCAAATACTAATTAGAAAAGTAGAAAATTCTAACCTTCATGATGAACAGGTTAATCACAGGGTTGTACCCAATTAGGTGGTCGCTGCATGGAAAATGCACATCATAGCTAGTTAGTCAATAACAAATTTTTGGCTGTTTGGGTCTAATGAGTTTTTTCATTTATGAGTGTTCTTTAATTTCTTGTTGTAGAGCTTTTTTATATGCAAAATTTTGAACATCAATGTAGTAATCAGCTATTTGCAATGTAAAGATATCATAGGTTAATGGCATAAATTTACAGTGTGTGTGTGTATGTGTATAGACATATATATGTGTTTAAATTGAGCTTTTCTGTTTTACCAGCCAGTCTGACTGAACAAGTTCTTGCTTTTGAAACTGTTGCATCTACAAAGTGACCTCTCAGACCACATGCAAATGTTAAAGTGTAGTCTAGATGGGAGTACTGGCTGGAGTTTTCAGCTCACGTTTTGACACCTTTTTGTTTAAATCTGAGATACTGTTTCTTTAGAAACCTCCAGTGTTTCTACATGTGGTATGCAGGTACCTTTAAGTCTCTGTCTTTTTCAGGCGTAGTCTCTCAGACATGGGAAGCGGCGGCCCTCCTGCCAAGCAGAGGGACATCGAAGGAGCCCTGCTGAGGTATAATCTTGGATTTTTTAAAATCTTTTTTTTATTATTATTATTGACCTTAAAATTTACATCAGCTCACTTAATGCCATGATGTTCTTCTGTGGGCGTTAAACACTTCTAGGGGCTTTTTTTTAAAGGTAATGTAAATAAAAAAACATTCTTGATTAAAGTTTTCGACACCAAAGCCTCGGTTCATTTTCACAGTTTTCAGCCAATGAGTAAATATGGTTCTTGCTGGTGTTGATTGAGATTAAAGCATTTATATGGAACAACCTGTAAACTGCCTCAGGCTAAAGAGCAGTCAGACAATATGATGGCACTTATCTTTTGTTGTATAATTCACGCCTTGTTTCTTTCTTCTGGTTATTTTTGTATGTTGTCTTGTGTGCAGAATACATCCCAAACTGTATTTGAATCACTTTGATTCTTGTCTTGCTGACAGATGTGAAAGCAACAGTTGCTGTTTTTGTGGTTATTTCGAAGAATCAGTCTTTTATGAGTGCCTTATCTTTCTGTGTGTTTGTAGGCTGGCAGGGGACCAGAGGGCCCGGAGAGATACGCGTCACGACAGCGACGCCGAAGATGATGACGATGTCAAAAAGGTAAGAGGAACATGCGCTTGTACCTCTGTTCATGTGTGCAGCCTGTGCAGGACAGAAGTTATACAGGTGTACTTTGTCTTTTAAGTTCATCAGAAAACTTTCCAGTATAAAGTCTATTTTAGGTATTTTACTCCCTGTTGTTAATTAATATTTGACAATAAAAATGTATCCTGGCTAATCAGTTTTGAAAACAAAGAGCCATGTAATGCCTGAAGCTGGCTAAAGGGGAGGTCAGAGGCTGTACTACAAAGCAAGTTTGACATAGCCAGGCTTTCTTTGTCTAAGCCTGCTCGACAAAAACGAGAGTCACAATCAGGGATAATGAGTATCAAGAAGGTGGTTATCAACGTTCTCTGTCAACTCAGACTTTCTACTTCAAATTCTGCACAATCACATGAAACGGAGGTGTTTACCACGGCGCGTAACTCTTCTTCTGCACAAAATAAAACGATTGTGTGCAGCTGCTTCAGTCAATACGTTGTTTTAATGGAGAACAATGAGGAATATAAAAAAATCATGACAGTATAACGCCCTGCTACTGCAAATGGTGCAAGACAGAAATGTTGGTAAACGTGTTAATATATAATATTTTACTGATGCAGCTGCTTATTTCCAACTGACACTGTCCCATAATGCAGGAATCACTTTAATTTTTGGCCAAATCAAAGCAAAATTAATGTTATTGATTGAATGTTCTCTAATAAATACCAGTAGAATAATCAGGTTTCTGATCTGTGTTCTATCAGCTGCAGTACCAGCAGAGTAAACAGACCTGACAACAAATCAGAGCCAAACATAAAAACATATTTATGTGATTTCTGCATCACCAACTAAATACATGTCAAGTTCTTATGGCAATGCGATATTTACAGTGTGCGATACTATAACTACATGGCTTCATTCAGTGATATTAGTAACTTACAACTCAGTATGTTTGCAGATAAAACACATTCCCTCAGCTGAGAATCTGTATCGCTCATAAATAATAGTCAGTAAACAACTTGGTTAAAGGAGACGCTCTTTCCAGCCGATTTAAATCTGAAACTCTGAACATAACCTGCTTCCGACCAGGTTAACTCCACAGCATCAGTTGCCATGGAGACCTAGCCACAAGAGAGCCACCTTTGTGACACTGAAAGTTCTGACTTTAATCTCAACATACCTCGATAACCCACTAATCTCACTTCGTAGTACAGTCCTCAGGTAGTAATACAGCTGTCAAAAATAGACAGTCATCTATTTCACAGCCAAAGCATCTTTCGGTGCAATTTTCAATTAAAAGGCAAAGGGTCCAATCATTTTTCCCCATGTTTTCTCCTTCCCTTAGCCGGCGTTGCAGTCGTCTGTAGTAGCTACCTCCAAAGAGAGAACACGCCGAGATCTTATTCAGGATCAAACCATGGATGAGAAGGGCAAACAGAGGTATGTCAACACAAGACTTTAACAGTAGATACACATTTATGTCTAGTATTGGTAAGTAAAAGTCATACTCCATGATAGAAACAGATGTGATAATTGCATTTGCAAGACATATTAGAGAAAGGATCAGTTCTAATCATCGGACAGCTGAGAATTCAAAGTGCATGATGGTGGATGTGTGTTGTCTTGGTCAGGAATCGGCGCATGTTTGGCCTGCTGATGGGCACACTGCAGAAATTCAAGCAGGAGTCCAATGTCTCTTCTGAGAAGGTGAGAAAATGATTCATTTATTAGTGAACTGTAGAGCTGACAGCATATATCTGACAATATCAAATGATAGGAAAATTGTTTACATGTCATTGAGACCAAACTTAAGTTTTACAACTCGGGTGTTGTGAATTTGTGCTTGTTTTTTTTTAGAAATTAAAAGTAATGGATTTCATTTGGGTAACAGTGAGAAGCAGTGTTCTAAAACTGCTTTCTGCTCTTTGCCTTTCAAGTTAACGTCAGGTCTTGTTATTCTAAACAAAGTGTAAGGAGTTTGCATTAATCTAAGTGAAATTAGTGGTTTCTATTCTTTCCACGGTAGCTTTCACAAAATATTTAAACAGACAGCCACTGACATGAGGTATAAAAAGCTGAACAATTTCCTGATCTGTTTTGTTATCGCTGTTTCTAATTTAAATTTTCTTCTGCCCCATAAATCTGTATTTGACCATCATGTGTTGTTCACCCCACAGCAAAAGCGACGTTCAGAGATTGAGCAGAAACTCGAGGTTCAGGCAGAGGCTGAGAGAAAGAAGGTGGAGAATGAAAAAAGGGAGCTGTTTGAAGAGAGGAGAGCCAAGCAGACAGAGTTGAGACTACTGGAACAGAAAGTGGAATTAGCTCAACTGGTAAGAAAATATTATTGAGCATTTTTGGAAAGGAGACCAGTAGAAACGAATAATCAGTTCTTTTTTTTTTTTTTTGTCCTTGATTTGACACACTGTTGTTATGCACCTGTGTTATATACGTGTTTGTTCTCTTTCTTTTCTTATTGCGTAGCAAGAGGAGTGGACTGGCCACAATAATCGCCTGGTGAAATACATTCGCACCAAGACTAAACCTCACATCTTCTACCTGCCTGGAAAAATGTGCTCCGCAACACAGAAACTCCTCGATGACTCCACCAAGAAACTAAATGGTCAGTTGCCTTCTTAATTTGGAAAACACTGGGAAATTAATCTGTGTCTGTTGACATCTCCGTAACCTGTACATTTTTGGATTTTCTCCCCCTCAGCTGTGTTTGAAGAGAGGCGTGAGGCATTTGCCGAACACCTCAGCAAGATGGAGTCGCGTCCCCGGCGACAGCCAAACCGCGACCAGGACGGCAACACAGCGGCCACAGGAACGGACCACACGGTGGAGGGTAAGCCAGCAGGTCAGGTAGTCAAGGTGACAGGTAATAAGGGTACTATAGAGATGGAGGAAGAGGAGGATGAGGACGAGGAGGAGGAGGAGGAGGAAAGGGAAAAGGTGGGGGATAGAAAGGTGGCAGAGAGGGATGATAGGGAGCAGAGGGAGGGAGGAGAGAAAGAACTGAAGAAGGAAGAGGAGGAAGGGATGGAGCTGAGTGAGGAGGGAAGTGAGGAGAAGAAGGGAGAGGAACAGAAGGGAGACAAGGAGGCGAGTCCAGGGTCAGAGGAGATGGAGGTGGAGCAGGGGGCAGAGAAGGAGGATAGAGGTAAGGAAAAAGAGGCAGAAACAGACAGTAGACAGGGGCCCACAGACCTCCAAAATGAAACGACTGAGGACATCCAGTCTTCTGAACCAACTGTAAGCAATCAGGAAGCACCAAATGCAAGTCATCAGCCTCTACCCAGCTATGCTGCAGGGGAACCAGCAGTAGAGTCCCCTGTGACCCAGGGGCCCTCTCCGATCCCAGAACCCCAAACAGTCTCTGCCATGCCTGAGCAGGATTTTGCCATCCCTGGATTTAAGGCTCAGGACTCTAGTGTCGAGCACCAGGCAGTGGAAGAAAAACCAGCAGAAGACGCCCCACCAAAACTGTCCGATTCCCAGGAGAACCCCATCATTACCCCTGCTAAGGAGGATGAGAATGGCAGCAGGGGTCGGAAGAAGGAAAAGGAATCGAGAAAAGGTCGCAGTCGTAGTAACAGCTCCTCGTCTTCCTCCTCCGGCTCTTCCTCCAGTGGAAGTTCTTCTTCTTCCTCTGGATCTAGCCGCTCCTCGTCGTCGTCTTCATCCTCCTCATCCTCGTCGTCCAACAGCAGCAGCCGAAGTCGCAGCCGGGAGAGCGGCAAGCGCAAGAGGAGGCCGTCGGATAGAGGCAGGGACAGGAAGAAAGGAGAAGAGAGAAGTCATCACAAGAGAGGAGGGAGTAGCGGAGGAGGAAGGGACTCCAAGGGATCGAAGGAGAGGAGGAAGAGGAGGAGCGAGGAAGGGAGGGGCAGGTCTTCCCGGAGTGATAGGGAGCATAAAGATAGAGATAGGAAGGACAAGAGACGCTAATCTGGTTCTCATGCAGCTTCTGTAAAAACACTGAGGGAAGATAAACCTCCAAATTTTTACTTTATGACACCAGACGAGTTTTTAAAAGTAGTATTTCTTTTCAAAACAACCAGTTTTTCAACTGGGCCCATCGCAAGTTTTAACATTGAGGAACTTTTTGGTGTCATTTATATGGCAGTATCGAAATTAAATGGATGACTGGTTATGATTTTCCTCTTCTTTTTCCTTTTGCTTGGCAAACAAGTAGGCCTGTTGGTCACAGGGGGATCTTACAGGAGAAACACTGTCTCTTACACAGTCACTAATATGGAGCCTTTACTACACAGATCAGATAGGAGAGACGTCATTCTAGTCCCATTATTTCAGATTTGGATTTTGAAAAGATTCTCATGATGCTATGAAGAAAAAAAATGGTGTTGAATGTTTTTCTAGTTTTCATCCTAGTCCTATGGCCTAAGGCTGGGGTATTGATGGTTACAGTAGGAGTGACCATTCACATATGGTAGTTGTTTAAGTTGTTGTGACAACGCTGTTAATCTCCATTTATTTCCACTGTTTGATCAATGTCAAGTGTGATTTGCTCAAATGTTGGCTTTTGAAACTGTATTTCCATGTTTTTTGTTTTGTTTTGTTTTTTTCGTACCAAATGAATCTGCTTCAAATTAAAGGTGGGGTATTAGAAGAAATGTGTGGTGTGGTGTTTATTTTTTTCCATAATCAATTATCTGTTTTCATGGATTAGTCTGCCTTTCAAGCTCAAATACACTAAAATGTCTGATTGCAGTGTCTCATTTGGAAGACTTTTGGAAAACTTTTTTTGAAATTAGGACAGTTGGGCAGATTGCTCGTCATTTTCCAAAATCATGAACTCATGGTCATTGCAGTTAAGCATGAAGCTTTGCCTTGTTTAAACAGCATGACACAAGACAGGTCAGGTGATCACTACAGTAATTAGGATTCATCCCCTGGCTTTACATTACTTTGTTGATCTGTGTTGTCGTGAAGATACCTGACTTAAGCCCAGAGGGCTGTACTACGAAGTGAGATCAGTGGGTTATCAGGTATGTTGAGCTTAAAGCCAGAGTTTTCAGTATCACAAAGGTGGTGCTTTTTACCTGCTAGGTCTCCATGGTAACTGATGCTGTGGAGCTAACCTGGTCAGGAGTATGTTATGTTCAGAGTATTAGATTTAAATCAGATGAAAGAAGCATCTCCCTTGAGCCAAATAATTTCCTGATGATTCTGTGAGTGATACAGACTCTCATGTTGTCATGGGAACGTGACACTCAGCCGATGATGCAGAAATCACATGGTTTTATGTTTGGCTCTGGTTTGCTGTCAAGTTCATTTACACTGCTGGTGCTGCAGCTCATAGAACACAGAAAAAAGACTATTCTACTGGTATTTATTACAGAGAATATTCAAAAACATTAATTTTGCTTTGATTTGACCAAAAATTAAAGTGATATCCTGCATTATGGGACAGTGTCAGACCTGAATGTACTTCAATACAAGATCAGGTTTAAATAGATTAAGTTTAAAGTTTAACAGTTTAATGTGCAGCTGTCAGTTTGATATAATCGGTAAAACACAAACATTGCACATATTTAACAGATTTCTACCAGCATTTTTGTCTTGCACCATTTGCAGTAGCAGCACTTTTTACCGTCATTACATTTTTATATTCCTCATTGTTCTCTGTTAAAACATACAGATTGAAACAGCTGCACAGGATCATTTCATTTTGTACAGCACAAGAGTCACATGATGCATTAAATGCCTTCTTTTATGTGAATGTGCATGCAGTTTGAAGCAGAAAGTTTGAGTTAAAAAGTTGAAAGCCTGCTTTATGGTACCTGCTATCTCTGCCTGGAGATTTAGTTTTTGTCAAGCCGACTTACACAAAGAAAGTCCGGCTATGTCAGACTTGCTTCGTAGTACAACCCTCTGGAGCTGTGTCATTTCCGTTTGTGACACTGGCAACTACAGTTTGTTTGAGGTACTTCTAAGGGCTTAATGACAATGTCCACACAAGCAGTGTTCCTATAAATCCAACAGTTTAATAAACAAATCTTGCATCTGAACTTCAAAAGTAAATTCACAAAAAAAAAAAAAATCCACTTGTCCTATTAAAAAAAAAAAACTGATTCTGTTGCTTTGGCTGCTGTCCAGTAGCATCAGCACAGGTCAGTTAGGTAACCTCATTCATTACAAATATAAAAGCTGTGTTCACGATCCAGTCCCTTCCCATTCGTCCTCAACTTTGATCCCAACATGTGAAGAAGCACCGCTGCCCCGTGTGGATGTGTGCACTGTGAAGACTTTGTAAAGTTACATGGTCTCCTTTAACATCCTTCAGATTGAGAACAGCGTGTTTCTCAATGAGTTGGTAATGTCAAGCAGTATACAGTTCCTCTTCACTCTTGCTGGTCTGCCAGATCATTCTGTTCAAAGTACCTGCAGGACAAACAAAAGTACGTGGGTATAACAGCATGTGCTTCTACACTGACACTGCAGTATATACAGTTGACAGCAAAAGTTTCCATACACTTGTAAAGACCATACACATCATGGCAGTCTTGAGTTTTCTGTGACTCCTGAAACTCTTAATTTTCGAGGATGGAATCATTAAAACAGATGCGTCTTTGTCACAAAAACAATCGTGCACTTTAGTGCTTTTGTCGATTTATTAGAGGTTTTCTGGAAATATGACAAATTGACTGACAGCGGCTTGACTGAAGTTTGTTCCTGATCACATGGACACTGAAAAGGCCTTCTGGAGGAAAAACTTGTGGTCAGATGAAACAGAAATTGAGCTATTTGGCCACAATGATCAGAAATATGTTTGGAAGAGAGAAGGTGATGCCCTTAATCCCAGAAACATCAGAACTACCATCCCACATGGTGGCGGTAGTATTATGGTCTGGGATGTATTTGGTGCCAGTGGAACTGGAGCTTTACGTACTGTAAATGAAATAATGAAAGAGGACGATTACCTCGACATTCTTCAGGAAAACTTAAAATCATCAGCCAGAAGGTTGGCTCTTGGATGCACTTTAGTGTTTAAGAAAGACAATAGCCCAAAACACGCATCAAAAGTGGTAAAGAAATGGTTAAATCAGGCTCCGTTAATTAAGGTTCTACACTGGCCTTACAAAAGTTTAGACTTAAACTCAATTGAGAACCCGTGGACTGAGCTGAAGAAACAAGTCTGTGTCAGAAAGACAACAAATCTTGTTGAACTGCATCAATTCTATAAGGAGTGATCAAAGATACACCAGAAGCCTATGGACGGCTACCAAAAGTGCCAGATTGAGGTGAAAATGGCCAAAGGATATTTACCCAAATATTACCACTGCTATATGTTTATTTTTGACGCACCAGATTTTAGTATAGGGTAGTATTTCCAGAAGACCTGTAATAAATCTATTAAAGTAACTAAAATGCATGATTGTTTTTGGGACAAAGTCGTATGTGTTTCAATCATTCCATAATAGAAAATATTGAGTTAAAGGTCAATGGAAAGTCAAGGCTGCCACAACAGACATGGGCTTTACAGGTGTATGTAAACTTTTGTTCACGACTGTATATGGGTATGATCACCCTAAACAAATGAGGCTGTAGTAGTAGTAAGTGCCACTAACTTATGCAACACACAAACATGTAGACATGCAGCCAGCCTTTATATATGTGACCAGAGAAATACAAACTATCTAGTTTCACCTGGCAACAAGACAGATGAGTAGGTTGAGGGCAGGCAGCTTCTCATCCTCCTGGCTATCCTGTGGAATCATTAAGCAGAACAGATAGTTCATATTAAATACTGTATTTTCTTTGTAGAGTGATCTGAGGGTTATGAACGATACATTTATTGTCTCTGTCAAGATGCAAATAAACATAGATTTCCAAAGAAAAATGTTCCCATTTTCTTTCTATGCTTAGCTCAAGCTCCACATTAATGTTCCACCGAGTGCCGGTAGCAGAGCCTACCAGCGTGCTGCGGAGCTCTGCACACCTCCTGGCCAGCTGTCTGATGGAGGAGTGAGCTTCAGGCAGCAGAGGCTTCTCCAGGCAGGCCAGCAAGGCATACAACCAGCGACCCTGTGACAAGAAAGCAATTAAATAAACAGAAAAATAATTGAAAAAAAACATTTTGCAATGATTCAATTACAGCATGATTATTGTGAGTGAGTTTTTTAGATTTCAAATTATAGAAGTCAGAAAAATGATGAGAAGACAAACACGGTGTCTTCCATAATGTTGGTATAATATTTTGCTAAACATTGCAAAAACCTGTCTTCATTTACATAGCATAAGCTAAAAAAATGTTAACTTTCTGTCATGTTCTGTGAATGCTAGGATATACCCACATTCATGACGTAAAGCTCTAGCAAAGCTAACGCTGCAATGTGATTGTAGCATTGGACTCGTGTCGAACTGGCAACCAGCTGGAAAAGGTTGAGTGACTTCATGCACCAAACTTACCAACTGTGGAACAAATTCTCTTTCCTCAAACCAGCTGATAAGGATTTCCAACACCATCAGCACTGTGGACTGTAGACACACAGGAGGGAGAAAACGAAAACATTCATCAGACTGTTTGGTTTAAAGCCAGATAAATTTCTAAATGTGGGAGGTAGTTTACCTGGTTTAGTCTGCTGACGATGCTCAGGAAGGGAGGGAACCCCACCTGAGTACAAACAAATGTTGTGAGAAATATGCCAGCAAAATTAAGATGCTATGTTTCATAGCACATGAGGGCAAAAAGTAATATACTCAATATATGCATTGCACAAACAGTACAAGACATGATTAATTTGGTCAGTTTTATTTTTACACTATTAGTCATTAGTTAGACTATTAGGTGGTGGAATCCAGTTTGATATTTTCCTTTTGAACTCACTTGAAGTTTTTCACATTTTTACACAATAATCAAATGTCCTAGGTCTTAGTGATTAGCAGAAACCCAGTTTATTAAGAAACTTTGAGTAGACAGATCACTGTATAAATAGATACAAAAGAAGGCATCCTTCTGTTTTTCCATAAACATGTATACAACCTTGCTATAGTCCAGTGCTGGCTCTGCATCTGCATCTGTGTGACAGGATGAAGTGCCCAGGTAGACCTTCTCTCCTAAACAAAACCTCTTCCAGCCCTCTTCATCCGTTAGCTTTGGCTGTGAACATAAAAAAAAATACATTTATAGCAATTTCAAAAACAGTTTGCCTCTTGTCTTGGAAAGCGACAGTATCAACATTTCCAGTGCTCATGCTCCTGATGAAACTCAGGAAACCTCAAGCTGAAACACCCAACATGATGCCATTAAATGTACACAGCACAGTATTTATCGAACTATTGAATGGAGTATGTGCCATCTTACCATCAGCACATTGTCGTCTAGAGACTGGCAGCTCCAGTGTTTCCTGTTCTTTGTGATACTCTGAAAGAAAAAATAAGCACAACATTATGCTCAAAGCTTTAACTTTGGAAATGCAGTGATCCTACCTAAAAGCAAACCAGCAAATATCAGTTATTAGATCTGCTGATTAAGAAATGGTCAAAACTTGGCAAAAGAAGCACTTTTACAGCATGAGTTCTGAGATGGGAATGTTACTTTTTTTTTTTTTTTTACCTGTCTGACATCGGAGAAGTTACTGACTTGCTGCTGCTGCCAACTGAAGCTGGGAGAGAAACCCACTGGAGCTGCATGGCACCCTGCGACCTGAAATACAGGAAATACGATCATCACACTTTTCAAAGATTGTCTCACCTGCAGTCAATCCCAACAATCAATGCCTGACAGTAATAAAAAGTGACTGAGCAATATTTAATTATTTAAATCAGTTCATGTAGCTGTCCGTTCTTTGGGATCAACTTGAAGTAAAGAATCACAGATTCAGCTCAGCAATACGCAATCCTCTGCATCTTTATTCATTTGACATATTTTACACTAATAATCACCATGAAACTTCTCCAGCTGATTACTTCCAATAAGACAGTTTTTTATTGCATTACACATTTTTTGAAATGTTATGTTTAAATATAGAAATTAGGTATTATCTATCTAAACATTCATTATTTTTGCATACAGCAGAAATCTAACCGTTTGATAAAGCCAGGTTCAAAATTGTTCTTTTGTTTATTTGATATATTAGAATCGATTTTTAGAGAGCAGATTTTGGATATGTCTTTTATCATTTCAAAAATGAGCCAGAAAAAAATACACATTTTCAGCATGTTTTTGGAAATAAAATAAAGCTACAAACAGTATATTAATAAATCCCTCTATAACAGCCTCTAAAATTTAGATGTGGGTAAATGGAGGGTCTGATGTATATAACTGCTACTGAAGTGGAGAGTTCTGGCTCAGAGTATGAGGAAAAACACATTTTGAGAGAGCATCATTTAAAGATATGATAGCAAAATAAACATCTGAATGTGCATTTGAATGTTTTTCTTTCCACTCCGTCTGAAAGAACACATTATGGAAGCAAAACATGCCCAAATCTTAAAACTAATCAGCGTACAAAATTATTTTATGATATGCACCATAAGCCAATGTCACAGCCATACAAAGGATTTTCCATCCATCCATTATCTATTTTTTTTAATTAAATTTCCCTTCTGGGATAAATAAAGTATTTTTCATTTCATTTCATTTCATCTATACACCGCTTAATCCTCACTAGGGTCGTGGGGGGCTGGAGTCTATCCCAGCTGACTCAGGGTGAAGGCAGGGGACACCCTGGACAGGTCACCAGTCTATCACAGGGCTACATTTAGAGACAGATTGACAACCAAACACATTTACAGCTACGGACAATTTTAGAATCACTAATTAATGTCATTATGTCTTTGGACAGTGGGAGGAAGTTGGAGAACCCGGAGAGAACCTATAGAGACACAGAGAGAAAATGCAAACTCCACACAGAAAGATCCCGGGAAGGCCAGGATCTTCTAGCTGTGAGGTAACAGATAGGATTTTATATTAAAATTATTTATATCTACTCACAGATGCATTGACTGTTTGTTTCTTCTTCAGTTTCTTGGGGTCAATCTGAGCAACCACCACCTCTGGACACAGTGACGCCTCCAACCTGATGAAAAAGAAACACATGATTTAAGCAGCTCCAGGAATACACTGCAAGAAGCAAAAAGACTCAAAAGGCTAAGGTTTGCAGTCAGTTATTAGTATTTTATTTGTAAGTAGACTACATTTAATAGTAAAAAAAAAAAAAAAGTATCTCAAAACATAAAATAATAATGTGTGTATCACAGCAGGGCCACAGAGAGTGGTGGTCTGTTAGACTTGGACATCCAAGGCCATAGTCCTAAATATTTTATGAATAGACCTGGAGCTCTCTCTCTCTGATATCAGTGATCAAAAACGCAGCACGTTTATGTTTTGGGTCCTCTATGTGTCACTCAAGCTACAGATCGACTTCATATTACTTGAACTTGCACATTTTGTGTCAACACCAGTCACAGGGCTTGTCATTGCCGGTGTGTGGTGGGAGCTAGCCAGCTAATCCTCTAAGGCAGCACTTGAAGGGTATGGATATGAGACACCTTTTGAAAAAGGAAAAGGGTGAAGGCAGTGAGACACAGGCTAGGCTGAGGGAGGTGGAAGAAGTGTTGTCTCTTTTTAGATAAGTTGTCATGAAGCCAATCATGGGCAGTGTTCTGTGATTCTTGTTAGCAAAATTGTCAGTGTATTAGGTCTGATTATTATTAGTTATTTATCACAGTTATTGTGTTAGAGGACTTAATGGATTTTTTTTGTTGTTGTTGTTCTCACTGGCACTTGCATCTCTTCTCTTGGACTGCCCACAGGGTTGGTCACCCAGATTATATCAAATCATAGAAATATTAAAAACTCAAATGAGTATTAAAAGATACACCAATCCCACTCAAGCTAGTTGCTAAAACTGGCAACTTTGGTCTCACTCTGTGGTTTTTAGACGTTTGTTTCACAAGGCACACTATTTATGAATACATGTATGTATACTCATATGCAAGGCACACCTACATATAAATATAGCTGTGAATCGTGATGAATACGACTAATTTCAAGGCAGTAAACCACTGGTCCAGCTATCCTGCACTCACAGTAACAGTAACGTGGAGCATGGGCTATGCAAAGTGATAAAGTGAGATTATCTCACTTTGCCTGAAAAAGAATGTCTCACACTTTATAGTAATTTTACTTTTAACTAACTTTAAAATTATGCAATTGTCAGAACAACATCCAAATATTTCCGCACTAGACCAAGCCCTCAGTGTTTCAATATTATAACAACGCCTCTGCCATAAAGTCACACTAACCCTCCACTGCCTGAACAGAAAACATGGCTGTTTGTGGTAAACGTACTGGACTTGTCGGAGGTACTCCTGAGGGTTTCTAGGAGGTCCACTCAGGTCCACCTGCTCGGTACTGGCTCCACAGTCCACGGGCAGCAGCCTCGGCATTAGCTCCTCCACGTCCGACTTCATTTTCTATCGACTGCAGACTAATTTAAAACCATAAGAGCTAAAAGGTTGTCCTGCTAAAACAAAATACCAACTTGTAGCTGACCAAAACAATGAAGTTTCATCAAATGCTCACTGTGCTCACAAACTGGGACGCCATCTTGTTTGTAAACGCAGGCTGATGACGCTATTTTAGTGCGCGATAATCGTTGCCATGGTAACAAACGTATTGTCAGCATTTAAAGAAACGAGCGAAGTCCACAAAATGCCCACGTTTTATCTGTCAAAACATTTTTCTGTCATCGTGTTTCCTTATTTGTTTCACAGTGGAATGTAAATCACAGAACGTGTCCTCAAATATTAAGCTCTAAGATCAAATAAAAAATAAAAAATACCTTTGACCTGTGACCAGAAAATGTTTTGTATGGCAAGCAGCTCTCTCATGTTAATGATTATCCTCATGGTAGCCTTATATCTTATCTCATCCCTTTCAGTAACCATTGGGGTTTCACGACAGCAGCAGCACAGAGGCAATGTCCACTTGCCAGCACAACTGACCCCAGTTATTTTTTTTACCCCATTATGGATATTTTTTACTTGATACACTCCTTTTAAAAAACCAAGAATGGCTGTTTCACAGACGTCTAGATTCCTGTGGATTATAGGCGCAGCTTTTGTGATTTTACCTCACTTCACTGTGGGATTGTTGTCTGACTACAAGATCTGTGGAGATTCTGAGTGTGAAAGTAAGTGCTCCTGATACAATTCCAGTTTTAATCGTAACACTATGTCTTTTTCAAATAAATTAGAAATCTAAGCTTTCTCATAAATCACAACGATCTTCAACTCTGCTTTACTAATGCACGTGTGTGTGTTTGTGTGTGTGTAGGCCTGCTGAGCAGAGTGCAGGCAATAAAGGACCACCGTGGTAAGGACTGCCGTTTCCTGAGCTTCAGAAAAGGAGACACCATCTTTGTTTACCACAAACTAACTGGAAAGAGAGAAGACCTCTGGGCCGGCAGCGTATGTCTCATGTCTCTATCCATCTGTCTCCTTCTCTACGTAAAGAAGAACATAATAAAAAACGGATCCTTTCCAAACAGTCTCTAATCACAGGTTCTAAGTTAATGAGATTAGTCTTGATTACAATACAGATGGTTTAGATTGCACTGATTGGCTGTGATAACATGTTTTTAATGACTGTTGCTTTTGTGAGGCTGTTGTGAGACTTACAAACACAATTGCCATTTTGAGCTCCCTGTGAGTTAATTTATATAACAATATAATAACGCACGACAACAGATCGACACAGAGACACAGCATTTAGGTACTGATTAAAATAAAAATGAATCACTTGAAGTTATAAACCACCCACACAGTCATTTCTGAGCTTTGTGGATTTGAGGAATCTTCTTATATTAAATCTGAGTGGTTCTTAGCTAAGGTTAAATTTCAATCATTGTAAATATGCAGTGCTTTCTGTAAGCTGCAGGCTTTCGCTGTAAAATGTTTCAACCAAATGTACATCTGAAAGTACAAAACTGTTTGCTATGACCCTAAATTAGAATTAGTTGAATTGCTGCTAGTTAACAGTGGTCACAAAGACATTTTGTCCCATTTCAAAGTGTATGTTAATAACTTTCTGACAATAACAAGATATTTGAATTGAGTCAACAAAATGTAGTCTAACTAAAGCTTGTTTATAAATGATATAAATGTAAATGTCATTACATAGACTGCAATATAGTTAAACAGAAATACCATGCCAATATTGAATTTCTTTTTGAATTAAGGATAACTTTTATAAGAAATTAGAGCTATTTAATATCATATAGATTAATTTATCATACATATTCATTTCAGATGTATCACTCATCTATAAATCACATGAAACTGACACTGGGAAAGAAGAAAACTTTCTTTAAGTGTTTTTTAAATTATTATTATTATTATTATCATGATTATTATTATTATTATTATGTCTCTTGTCTCCTTTTCCCTTGATTCTCCCCTCTGTTCTTCCTTCTTTATTTAATCCATAAATTGGTTTGTCATATGGAATTTTGATTGCTGTAATGTTTCTTTTCTTGTATCAGATTGACAGACAGTTCGGCTATTTCCCAAAGGATGCGGTGCGAGAGGAGCAGGTTTATGCAACTGCAGAGAAAGTAGTGGAAACACAGGTAACTTCAGCAACTGTTCAGTTCAAAAGTGTTTGAACAAAACACACACTGATCAGCCACAAAATTAAAACCAATGAAAGGCCAATCGACAGAGGCTACACCACAGAACCCACAAGATTCAAATGATTCACTGCCAGCATCCAAGTTCCAGACACCACAGGACACTGTTGTGTCTGTGGCGGTCACAGTGTCTACTGTCCACCTGTTATTGCAGCACAAGGAAACCTTCACAATCATAGGCAGCTGGTTTCAGTATTGTGGCTGACCATGAGTATATTAAGTGATTGTAATTAAGGAGAAAGTAACACTTATATTTATTGCCTATACATTTGTTCCTTGCCTCATTATTTAAGAGTATTGTTTTTCTGTTTCCTTCAGGAATCAGACTTTTTCTGTATGGATGAGTCTGGCTATCCCATTGACTCTGCTCATCTGGACATTGAGGATGATGACAGTGATCAGAAAGTCCAAATCCAGGAATCAGAAACCACCCAAACCACCCCACATACAGAAGACACAAATGTTGAAGGTCCTCTGACATCAGCAGACCCCTCTGCAGAATCTCCAGTTTCAGCACAGAAAACAGAAGAGGATACAAACAAAAATGTCGATGATGCTGCAGCCGGGCCTCACGAGGAAGCACAAGAGACTGCTGCGAATCTGAACGAACAAGGTGGGTCTCCCTCTTCTTCCTGGCTCGGTTCCTCAGTGACAGGATGGTTAGGTCTGTCTAAAGAGGAGCAATCTGGCAATTTGGCTGAAGGAGAGAAGGAAGATGAGAGGAAAGAGATCCAGGCAGAAGATTCGCTCGCTTCTTCAGTGACAGGGTGGCTGGGGTTTGGAGGACAAGAAAAACCTGACGATGCCAAAGAAAGTGAGAAAACCAGTGAAGAAACTGCTGAATCATTCACTTCAACCATGACAGACTGGCTCGGCTTTGGAGATGAGAAAAACACAGAGCAAGATGAACAAAAAGAAATGGATGAAGAAAAAGAAGAACCGGTGGAGAAATTCAGGAGTAGGAGGATGTCTTTGGACCTTGAAGGCAGCCAATTACATGTAGAGGAGAATGAAGAGATTGGGACCTTGGGTTGGTTGGGGAATGGACTGTCGAATACGCTGGGGTTTGGCCAAACCAATCAGGACTCAGGACATGAGGCAACAAATGGAGGAGAAAGTGAGGAGGAGAAGGAGCAGCCGGCATCTAGTTCTTGGTTGAATGTGGGGATTGAGGACATTTTAGGTTTTGGGAAAGATAATGTTGGAGCTGATGAAAGGACAGTAGGTAGCTTTAAAGAGACAGATGAAGATACAAGGTCACAACAAGAAGAAGGATCACAGAGTGTGGAAAGCCATCAATCACAGTCTGCTCTTACAAGTGAGGAAAAGATTGAGACTAGCAATGACTTACAGGTGGAAGAACCTCCAAAAGACCCAACCACCCCACCCACAGAGGCAGTCACTGCTGACAATAATGATAATGATTTAGAGTCTTCAGACAGTAGTAAGAGCAGCGTTCTGCAAGTAGATTCTGAGTCTATGGATGATCGCAAAGATCTTACTTCTAATACCAAATCTGGGGAAGAATCTCAGACTATAGATGGAATGTCCTCTATGATCAACAGCTTTTTCCAAATCGGTGACAAAGGGGATAAAGAAGATGCTTTAGAAGATGACAGTAAAGAGAAAAACAAAATGGATGAGGAGATACCTGCAGAAATGGAGGGCGAAGATCACGAGATGCCTAAATCAACAGGAAATGAGGGTAAGGATAATAACAATGAGCCAGGAGAGGAAGAATTTAAAATACAGTCTGACAGTAATTTGAGCCCTGACCACAGTTCTGTGGATTTAAAATCAAACTCCATCGAGCAGCCTGAAAATAAGGTTGAGGAAGATGATAAAGATCAGCTGCAAAGTGAGAAAACAGAGAGTGTACAGGACGAAGGGGCAGAAGTCACATATCAGGCAGAAGAATCTATCGATGTATCTGACATGAGTGGTGACAATCACGAAGGAAAGAGCAGCAATGAAGAGACAGAATTAACTCACAGAGAAACTGTCAAGGCTCACACTGAGGAATCAGCAGAGGAAAGTGAAGTCAGTAGCGATGTAGAAGACAGCAGCACACAGAGTCAGCTTTTCCTGTCACAAGCTCATGAGAGAAATGAACCAATCCCAGTTAAGGATGAAAGTTATACTCCTCAGAGAGCTGAAACAAATGATGATGATTCACATACACTAGCTACGACTGACAACAATGCAGAAACACTGTCACATCACGGTGAGTTGGGACATGAGGAAGAAACACAACCTGTTGAGGGCAGCTCTGAGGAATTCGAATCCTCTGACTCTACCAGAACAAGCACTGAAAGTCTGGATGAAAATGCCTCTGAGGAGAACAGAGGAACCATCTCCTCTAGTGGAAGCACAGCAAACACAGATCAGGCCTCTGTGTCTCCACAGACGGACCACAGGGTCACACCAAGTGATGGTGACACAGACGAGCTAAAGGAAACTGTTGAAGGAACTGTGAATGACAGCGCAAACAACCTCCAGCAGGCTCAAACTGAGAAAGAGACATCAGGCGCTGAGGAAAAAGATCTGAATGAAAATGACCTAAAGCCAACAAAGTGCTCAGAAACAGAAGCTGGGGAAGTGGTGGAGTCAGAGAATGTGAGGGAGTGGGAGACATCAGAGGTTGAGGAAAATGAGAAAATAGAGGATTTAAAGGAGGTGGAAGAGGTAAAGGAGGAAGAGAAACAGGGAAACAAAGAAGGTGAGGTGGAGGAGTCAAAGGAGGACAAAAATCAGGAGGAAATGGAAATGAAAGACATGGAGAAACAGGAGGAGGACGAGGAATTAAAGGAAGAAATTGAAGAGAAAAAGGTAGAAGATTCAAAGGAGGAGAAAAATCATGAGAAAGCAGAGGAGGTAAAGGAAGAGAGGGAGCAGGAGGGCATAGAGGAGGTAAAGTTAGAGGAACAGCAGGAGCAACTGGGGGACTTGAAGGAAGAGAGTAAAGTCGAGACATCAAAGGAGGTGGAAGAGATAAAGGAAGAGGAGAAGCAGCAGGAAGTAGAGGAAAAGCAGAATGAGGCAGAGGATGGAAAGAAAGAGGAGACACAGGAGGAAGTACAAGGAGAGGAGCAACAGGAGATAAACAAAAAGAACAAACACGAGGACATGGAATTAAAGGAAGATGAGATGGAAAAGAGAGAAGAGGATTCAAAAGAGGAAGAAATACAGGAGGGTTTGGCAGAGTTAAAGGGAGAAGAGAAAGGGGAGGAGACAATGAAGGTAAATGAAGAGAGAGGGCTGGAGGAGGCGGAGGAGCGAGAGGAGGCGGATAAACAGCGGAAGACAGACGAATTGCCAGAGGAAGAAAATCAGGCCAGGGAGGAGGAGTTAGAGAAAGAGGAGAAACAGGAGGACTTAAAGGAATTTGAGGAGGTAAAGGAAAACGAGACAAAGGAAGAAGACGGAAAACAGGTGCAGTCATCTCATTTGGAGGAGTACGTGGAAAATATAGGGACTGACATTAGCAGGCCTGAGCCAGAGAGCGATAAGAAAGGGACAGAAGATGAAGAAGACTTTACTGAATCTGCCGCAAAGACTGAAAGCCCACAGGCAGAGGTAATGGATGAAAAGATTAAACAGGAGGAGGTTGACAAAAAGCATCAGGAGAGCCATATGGAGGAAGACAACTTTAAATGTTCAAATGATCTTCGTCCTCAAGCAAGCGAAGAAAAGCCCGTCGTAGAAAGAGACAGAGGTGGCTCTGAGGATGGAGCAAGTTCACAGAATACTGACTCTGATGTAAAAATGAGTGAAAATCATGAAAATACAATGAGTAGTGAATCCTGGAGTGAAGGATGGAGACTTTCAGCTTCACCTACGGATCCTGTTGAAAGTCAGGCTGTGGTACCTGAACAAGCTGGTTCACCTGTGCCAGAGGATCCTCCTGAGTCTTCACTTCCACCTGGAGCAAGTTCACAGAATGGTGCATCTGATATAATAATGAGAAAAGATCACGAAAATACAATTAGTAGTGAATCCTGGAGTGAAGGATGGAGACTTTCAGCTTCACCTACGGATCCTGTTGAAAGTCAGGCTGTGGTACCTGAACAAGCTGGTTCACCTGTGCCAGAGGATCCTCCTGGGTCTTCACTTCCACCTGATGATCTCAATAGAGGGACAGCAGAGAGTAAGACCAGAGGAGCTTTTGGTCTTTTCAAAAATGCATTTGGTTTTTTTAGCCAAACACCCACCACTGAACCTGAAGGGTCCACAGAGTCCGCTCAGAGTTTTGATGCCAATCCAGATGAGACATCACAGCCACAAGCCTCTCTGACTCCTGAACAAGAACCAGACTCTACGCTTGACTCAAGTGAGAATCAAAATGTGCACACAGACTCTCCCATCACCACATCCACAGAGCAGCCACAACCTTATCTTCCTTCTGCCGAAATCCACCGCCATACTGCATCTCCAAACACAGAAGCACTCCTCCAAACAAAAACCATTTCCAAACATTACAAGAACCTTCTTGCAGACATGAGTGTGGATGACATGACTATTTTGATAGAGCTTTTTGGGCAAAACAAGTTGCAGTTTTTGGATTACATTTTGGCCAGTTCAGAAGGCGTGACCGAAGACCCTGAGCATGACGAATCTATATTGTCAGATATAGAAAGACTTCTGCATTATCACAGGGAAATGCTGGTGGCTCCTGGCGTTAGGCTCGCTGATGCACCACAGGAGGACAAAGAAAAGACTAGAATGCTCATCGCTCTTCAGAAGCTGGAAATGCTGTTAGAAAGAGTAAGAAAGACTTTCAACACAGGAAAATACGATCATCAAGGTATTTTTGTCTACTTTGCCTCAACCATCATGGCCAGTATTAATGATATTTTGATGTAATTTTATCTTGAAATCAAAGTATGGTTTTGGATTACATTTGTTTCAATTAGAATGCATGTGTTCCCCTGTCAAATGCAGCTGAGGCCAGCTGTGTCGGTGCATCCTGCTCAACTCACAGCAAAGATAAGGAAGTGAACACTGAGACTGAGCTAAGGAAGACAGAAGATTCTTTGGTGGCCCGGGATAACAACATCCACAGAGATGGATGGATGGCACTGGAGAAAGACAATAGCCCAGTGGGTGGTGGTGCAGGACAAGAGAGGGAGACTGTGGATGAGAAAAGAAGAGAGAAAGCAAATGAAGAAGAGGAAGTGTCTCCTCCTCACATTCAACCAGGATCATCACAGCCACTGGAAGGTATGGATGACCCAAGTATCCGTTAATCAAGAAGGACTTAAAGCTGATTAAAACATATAAAGCAATAAGATGTGAGAAGCAGTGCTGCTCGACCTGCTACATCCTCGCTCCCCAACACACAACCTCGGATGGCATGGCCAGAGCAATATCTTCAATTTTTTACAATAGCATCATGCAAAGACAAAAGTTTTCAGTATTGTATCATCAATATCATTATGAAAAACGGTGGAAAGTGTACATTTTAAATACCATTATGTATTTTGCTCAAACTCCTCAGTGATGAAGCAAATTCTGGACTTCGTACGTCAGACTGCCGAAGACTCTGTCGTCCATGCTTATGCAGCGAAGGAGCTCCTAATATGGATTACTGTGCAGGTAAGAGCTACCAATAGATTTTCAATCCATGGAAACTGAATGTAGGTGTCATTTGTTTACTATATGACATCCACAGTGATGCACCAGACAATGTTTCTAGTGGTGATTAGGATGAGACCTTTGTTCACAGTAGAGTGACACTGTTTTGGGGGGGTTTGTGAAAATTGCTGTGTTGGTCTCTAACTTTTATTGCTGCCTTATGTAAGTGTGACTGGCATGTAGAAGGAAGCCATGACGAGTCATGCTTAATAAGCTTTTTATGGTAAATGGTCCAACTTTGTCAGATTATACAAAGCACTTCACAACACATTTCTCATTGACAGACATTGTACACCATGCAACGTGCTCACCTAACATGAGGAGCAACTTGGGGTTGAGTGTCTTGCCCAAGAACACTTGGGCATGTGGGGGCACTGGGGATCGAATCGGCAACCTTGCGATTAGCCTCTAATAGGCTTAATTATTGGTTGTGTGGGATGGCCTGGCCACTGTCATCAGCGCTGGGCTATATGTCTTATTTTTCCTTAACCTGCAGAAGTTACTGTGTATCAAATTATACATCCTCATGATGACTCAGTTCATAGCAGGGCACATCTTGTTATCTCAGAAACTTTCCCTAACCCACTTTACACATGTTCTGTCAACTAACATTAGATTCAGAGCCACATTTGGCTTCATTTTTGTACAGGGCACCTTCAGGCCCCTTCAGGTGCAAAATGGACCAAAGCTGATTCCTGAGGTGTCTACATACTGTGGTGTGTGGTTCTTTAAGACATTACAGTTGTGACATGTTGAGCTGACTCTCCCTCTGGTATGTAGCTCTGCCTGCGTCTCAGCTGTCAAGCTGGCTGGGCTCCGTCAACATCGCTCACATTTGGGTCTATCACTCTCTGGGCCAGCTGGCAATCAACACAGCTGTACAGGCGAACTGGTTTACATGTCTGGAGGGGGGTAGTGAGTTTATAGTTTCAGATGGACGAAAACGAGGCCAGGTCGGTGAGTATAACATTTAGAAAGACGAAGTGAACATAAGCTGTCAGACTCACAAGTCTTCCCCTGTGTCCTACTTCGACTGGTTGGTTATTAGCTTGTGGTCGTAACTCAAAGACATACGCAGCTCAGGAAAAACTGCTGAGTATTTATGTGTTGAATTTGAGACAGTTAAATTAATTAGTCTTGAGGTTATCGAAAGCAATAATTAGAATACAGTATTTGTTTGGGTGACACCTGTTTCTCTTGGTGTCACTTTGAAAGCGCTCCGATGTGCCTGTGTGGCATCTTACAATTGGTGACGTTGCGATTAAACCATTTGCACCAGTGGGGGTGTAATACCATATGTGTGAATTTATAAGTCCATAAAACAATGTATATAGGTTGTGTTATACTTAATAAATTTCATAGCTGATGTATTAAAAATCTTTTGGACCAATTAAAATCATATAATTGTTACAAAAGGTTTACAAAGAGAATTAAATATTCTTACCCCTACCTTCGACGTGAAATCAGACGTGGTATGCTCTTGAGCGTCGGTGTTGTGAATAGGATGTGAAATCGCCGCTAACCCAGTTCGCGGCTGTAGTTTCTTGTCGGTATAAATAAAAATCATAACTAAAGTGTAAGCCGAATGAAATAATTCAGAGATGGCGGAACAACCGGCGAGTGACCAGTTGGCCAGCAAAGCGGTGGACTTTCAGGCGACGGCCGAGGCTTACTACAGTATCGCCGTGGAGAAAGTGAAGGATGTACGTTATGTGGCAGGTTTCGTTAGCATTTCCCAATTAGCCGTCAGAGCACAAATACCGTAACGGGCTGTCATGTAGTCGAAAACATGGTAGTATTTTCTGTATAATATACATATTGTACATTTGTGCCTCTCATTTCTGACTGCGTGTGTGTTCTGCCAGTGCTGCCGGCAAGCTGTCAACACTATTTTCAGATTTTCTGTCTCATTCTCAGACGTGTTTTTCACATAGTTAGCTGGTAAATAGTTAGCTAGCTAATTGTCAGCAACATCAGTCTCTTATAAGGTGTTATGCAGCTATCCTACAATCTCTAGTTTGTGAATGATAATGGCAGGTGTCACTTAATTCTCCTTTTAGTAGATAGTTATGTCACCAGCATGTTTGTACTACAATTTCTATCCCATAGTAGCTGTGTATAAAGCTGTCAGGAGTAATTATTTAGTGTTTTAACAAACATGCGTTTCTAAATACAGCCGTCAAAAGCAAAAATATAAGAAGTACAGGAAAACAAAGCAAGACAAAAATGGGATGATCCTTTAAAAAAATAAAAATAAAAAATACACATACTCCTACCCACTAAAGCAACAACTGTTTTAAAACTACTCTTACATCGAAATTATGTCCATGTTCAAATCCAGGCTGAAAGCAGTTCTATTTAGTTGTGAATATGACAGCTGAAAGTATTTTATCTGTACTCTACTGATTAATGATTATATTTATGTTTTTATTGATTGACTTTGTCTACTCATGGTTTTGTGTGAAGCACTTTGAATTGCCTCGGATACGAATGGAGCAATACAAATAAACCTGCCTTGCCTTGCCTATGTATGCTCTGGTAGTTGAAGATGAGCTGAATAATTCAACTTTAATGCGTAAAGCATTCACAAAGCCATATTTAACTCTTTATATTCTTTTTTTCCACATGTGTCAATTTGACTTTCAGGGTAGTCACACGGTGCTCAGACCTTGAGCCTAAAGCCCACTATATTAGGAGCACTATTCCTCTGTTTATCGTCCAATAAATGAAAATGAGTAAACTACCTTTTGTGACCAGATGCACACGTCTAATTTTAGGTATAGTCAGTAAAAACTATCTCCTACAATGAATGTTTTTTTTGTCTTTTCATTCAGGTTGTATCGTCACTGCCGGATGACATAAGACCTGGGCCAGACCTGTACGGTGTGCCATGGGAACCAGTCATCATCACTGGTTTTGTGGGGCTGGTGATAATGCTGCTGTTCACCTGTAGATGTTATAGCTCTGTGAGTGTGCATTCACAGACACATGACCTTACAGTATATTCACAAGATGTTATGTTGCAAACGTAGACACAAAGAAGTTACACATGTTCCGTTGCCATTTATGAAACCATCCATCCTTTCAGTGACCCCTAATTCATGGTTGTTCTTATATTTCCTCAGATCAAAAGCAGAATGTATCGAAGTAAGTTGTTGCTTCATATTCTTTAATATCACAATTTTATACATGATCTAAGTTCATCACTAATACCTGCCAGTTATACTTCTCTAATCACTGTATATGAAAATATATACCAGAAATATTTTATAAATAACAGTATCTGTAAGCCTTGTGTTCATTGTTTTTCAGGGAAAGAGCGGTGGATGGCTGAACAGGTTGCACAGCTGCTGGACGAGAAGTGTAAAGTCCTTGAGACTCTCAGTCAGAGTCAGCAAGAGGTAGGTGCTTGTGCTAGTGGTGGCTGACTTCTGGCTAGAGACAGAGCCGGTCTCACACACAACACTAGGCCATTTAATATGGGGTCAGATTCACGTAATGTGTTGCCATGGCTTTAGAAACATCTGAATTACATAGAGGAGTCTCATGTACATTGTCTGAAGTGAGATCAAAAAGCATGTTGACCTTACAAAGTAATTGCAGAAAGTAATTAGCATAATTTAAATCCTGATTAAATGCTTTTGTCATGGCTGTAATGGGAACTTTGAGATTTACTTGTTCATAATTGTCATTTGCAGTATGATGACCTGGAGAGTTCACTGAGGGACAGTGGTGTCTTGGCCCAGACTCAAAAGACAGAAGAGCTTGAGGTAAGGCAGAAAGAAATAAGAAAGAAATGGCGATTACAAAATACATTTTATTTTTGAAAACCTTGTTTTATATAATAGGCCATCACATCCACAGTCAATTTAAACAGAAACTCCTTGATGTCTGATGTCTGAAGGATGTCACTAATCGATGGAACTCACACAGAACTTGTGTCTGGTGTTGTGTACAGATTCAGATCTTAAGATTAGCACCTAATTCCTTCTCAACACTTTATATCAAACCAGTTACTTGGGAAAATTATCTTTTGGTTTGTTTTGTTTTGTGAGGATTTGCCAAACTTCTAAATTTCTTAAACTACTTCACGTGTCTAATTCTATTTTTTTGTGTGTGTGTTATCAGTTCACAGAGCAGTATGTTTACCTCTCATTTTGTGTACTAAAAGTGCAATTTAGTTCTATTGAAATAGTACCAAATTACAACATTTTATCTCAGGGCTCTAACAGCAGGTGGTATTTCACAAGATATCACATAAGTTAGTCATCTGTGTATCGCTGAATGTTTAAAATGGATTTCTAGAAGCAGATACAGCTTTTAGATACTATTTTGTAGTATGTAGTATTTTGAGGTATGCATCTTCACTTTCACAGCCACATGATGTGAGTTGGTAACATTTTTTCAGTATGCAGTGGTGTATAGACAAACATATAACACAAAAAATAATAATCGTCATTTTCTTACAAAATGAAGAACTGCATGCACTACAGTGCAAGAAGCATAGATTGCAAAATACGAGGGAGAAGTCCATATTGCGTCAGGAGAAAAGCTAGTTTTCTATTTGTTGTTCTCTTTATTCTTCACCCCTCCTTCTCCCAGTTATGCTCTTATTTGAAGGAGTTTTCTGATCACATCTTGTTGTCATGTGAATTCCAGGCTAAAGCCAGACAGTTGGAACATACTAAAAAGGAGCTGGAGAGGGATCTGGAAGAACTGAAGGATCAAGTGGACCAGCAGAAAGAACATAGAATAGAGCAAGAAAAGAGGGTACGAGTGCATGCAAATATAAAAACATTGTGTGCTAACCATTGAAGTGTCATACTGACTGAGTGAATGTTTTGGTTCTCCCTCCAGATAGCAGTACTTGAGGAGAACATGAAAACATTTGAAGAGGAAGCCAAAGACCTCCAGTCACAGGAAGAGCAGGTACAGTCCTTCAGTACATGACCTTTCCCCTTTGAACCTTCACATTCCTGTCCTCTTTCTTCTGCTGCAGCTTATTTTCCTCCTTTGCTCTGTCCCTCTGGGTTTCATGAAATATTTTTGCTGCTTGTCTGTCTCTAGGCACAAACCACTCTTAAAGTGTACAGTATGAACAGTGAGAGACTACAGAGGAATCTGGAAACATCGGGAGAGGAGAACACAGTACTGCAGGAGAGCAACGCTCAGGTAGGATGCTACACACACACACACACACACACACACACGCAATATTACTGTTTATGATAGTAAACAAATGTATACCCTCTTACTTCTCGCATCATCATTTCCTTTCTCTGCGCGTCTCTTTTTCTTTACAGTTAAGGCAGCAGCTGGAGGGGTGGGCAGAACGAGTGAGTGAGTTGGAGGCAGAAATGAAGAGGTGTGAGGTGGCCCACAGCGGGATGCTGCAGGATGTGGCCAACAAGGACGAACGCATAATGGTAATATGGGTTCTAACAGTAGTTACAATATATTGTAGCTCGTTACTACATTACAATATCTGGTTTTTGGGCGCCCCGGTAGCTCAACAGGTTGAGCGGGCGACCCATATATAAGGGCTGAAAGTCCCCGAAATAGCAACCATGGATCAGGTCTGACCCATGGCTGATTTGCAGTATGTCATTCCCCACTCTTCTTCCTACCTTTCCTGTCTCTCTCTACTAACCTCTGGAATCAAGGCACAAAAGGCCAAAAGAAAAAAAGCATTTTAAAAATTAAACAAAAAAATCTGGTCTTGAATACAGGTCACATTTTGAGAACCACTACAGGGGAGGACTGCAAGTTGATATAAGAAATTGATAAAATGATTTTGATGCCTTTTGTTATAATAAGTTTTCAAATGTGTAAATATTTGTATGCTTCCAGTCTTTGACGGATCGACTTCTGAAGATGAAAGGTTGGGATTCAGATCTGGAGGAAGAGGACAGTGAGGAAGCAGGAGAGAAGGAGACAACCAATGGAACGGCAGGAAAAGGAGAGAGGAATGGAAAATTGGACAAATCAGACAAACAGGGCCATCTCCAGAAAGTCCAGAAACTCATTTATGCTGCTAAGGTATGTGAATAAAATGGACACAAGCACTGATGGTAGTATTTGATATTCTTACTTATGTAGTGATGATACAGAAGAATGCATATAATTGGATACAAATTAAAAAAATAAAAAACTGTTTACAGCTGCTAACATTGTGTATATGTGTGTGTAGCTGAATGCGGACCTCAAATCAGTAGATGAAGATAAGGACAGAGTATTTGCTAAACTGAATGATGAAGTCAAAGCTAAAGAAGACTTGCAAGGTAAGTTGACTGTACACTGACACATAATGTCATTAGGTGTGTGTCCAGAACAAAGGAGTCAGTCAAAGAGCCGCTTCTTTATTGTTTTAATAATAATCGAACATCTAACAATTGTTTCATGTGTAAAGACTAGACATACAGTATCCCTGATTACATGATTTTTGCATCATCGTGTTTTGTTTTTCTCTCAAGAGGGCATTAAGGAACTGGAGAATGAGAAACTATCTCTGCAGTCTGACACTGACCACTACTCTGATCAGGTAGCTGATGTCGACTATATATCAATGTGCTATTTTAGGACTTTGGTGTTCCTCTTTTTTTTTCTCTCTCATTTGGATTAATTCCTCTTACTCATGTGTTTAGGTCCAACGATTACAACAGAAGCTCCAGATTATGACAGAAATGTATCAGGAGAATGAACTTAAGCTGCACAGGTATTGATAAATACACATGTATGACTAAGCTAAAACTGTGGAATGACTTTGAAACTGTGATGAGGATGGTAATGAACATGTGTGTTTGTAGACTGCTGACAGTGGAAGAGAAGGAGCGTCTGCAGAAAGAGGAGAAGTTAAATAAAGCAGACAAAAATATTGCGATGGCTATGGAAGAACTTAACAACTACAGGTAGGTGCTTTTTCACATTAAACATACATTACCAGCATATATCATTGAAGTAATTTGTGAGCATGTCCTCCACACACAGTATCACTTCTGCTTTGTTCCAGGCAACGTGCAGAAGAGATGGAAGAAGAGTTGGAGAAAAGCAAACAGTCTTATCAAACTCAAATTTCAGCACATGAGAAGAAGGCTCACAATAACTGGGTCGGTAAAAGTCCACCACAAACAAATCCCCCCCAAAACTCCTGAGCTTTGTTATTATGTCGTACAGCCTAATGCATGTTAGTCAATGTTGGTGGTTGTGGTTTGACCCCTGTTGAAACTGAAACATGTGTTTCTACATTTTAAGCGTATTTAAACACACTGACCTTGACTGTATCTGTATATTTCTACATATGTTGTGTTACTGACACTTCCAGCTGGCAGCCCGAGCAGCAGACAGAGAGCTGGCAGACATCAGAAGAGAGAACGGCCTTCTCAGACAGAAGTAAGCATAAGGTTTTGAGGGAGTGAGGAAAGTTAAGTACGACACTGTGTTCCCTTAAGCTTTGTCTCATCTCTATTAGTTCACTCACCTTAATAGTGTCCTAATTTTTAGGAGCACTCAAAGACTGCTTTTTCAGAGCATATTTGTTTATAATTTACAGTCAGGACTAAAAATGTGTGTCATACTTTAACTTTAGGTGTGTTTGTTTACAGACTGACGGATACACAGTTTAAACTAGACGCCCTTGACAAAGATCCGTATGCCTTGAACAGCTTGGCTAGACCACTGCCTTTCAGAGGTAAATACACACACACACACACACACACACACACACACACCCCTAATATATTAAGCTGACGGAGCAGTAGCAAAAAAAAAAAAAAGTAGGCAGACCACTTGGAGTTATGTGGACAATAATTTAAGATATATTTGTGCTTTCAGTTATTATATTAGACCTTAACATATTAGCCTTAAATTATTTTCAGTTCTTAATCTAAGTTCCAATTTTGAACACACACAATCTATTTAAACTAATACCGGATAAATCATTGTGCCGTTCTCACCTATGTTAAATATTGACTTTGTAGCTTGTAAGAAGTATGTGAACCCCGAGGCTAAAGACATGAACAAAGACTCTTTTAAAATTAGGAGTTGGCCAACCTGCATCAGTGAGGCAATACTGACAGTGTAAGTTGGAGCTAATTTAACCTATTGAAAATACTTAACTTAATTTTGAGTTTACATGAAGCATCTGCTGATGTGAAGCATGCATCACAAAGAATAGATTTCCAAAAGGCTTCAGGAATCATCGAGAATTGCTGATTGACATAAAGCCGGCAGGTGTTACAAAGTAAGTTAGACACAGTTAGACAAACTTTATGTAGATGGATGCACTCCAGTACTGTGCGTACTCTCCCTAAAAGTAAAAGACAAGCTAAGATGACTTCAGAAGCACAATCAGTCCAATCATTGGAGATGGTTGACATCTTGGTTGATAAATCTAGCCCCGGTAACTGGTGGAACAGACAGGATGTCTATGGCAGGGCTTAGAGGAACCTGCTGCTCTAAAAAACACAAAAAAAACATTACTTTGCCAAAAAGCATCTGGACTCTTGCAAAACTTCTTGTAAAATGCTTTTGTTTGATGAAGGTCTTAAACTGCTCCTGAGCGTTGTTCAAGTCTGATCTGCAGCTACCAGAATTGCCTGTTTGAGGTTATTGCTGCCCAGGGAGGGAGTTGTTAAATTTAAGGGTTCATTACTTTTATACCAGCACAGTAAATGTTTAATAGGTATGTTCAATAAATTAGTAAGAATCGTGTGTGCCTATACTTGTGACTTAGTAGAAGATCCGTTCAGATTTTACAACCAATTAATGTAGAATACCAGATCATTCCAAAGAGTACACACACTTGTTCTTGTCACTGTGGTTGAAAGGAAGGAAATGAAAGACTACAAAATTAGTCCTACTAAGTCTTTAGCCCTAATTCAAACTGTTTTCAATTCCAGCTGAAAGGTCCCCGTACGGTCCTTCTCCTCTGGGTCGACCCGCATCTGAAACCAGACCTTTCCTCTCTCCTCCTACGTTGATGGATGGACCACCTGCCAGACTGTCTCCTAGAGGTATATACACACAAATCCACAGTTAGCTGCAACTACACTCCATTACGATTACAAAATAGTGATCTCATTTTCTGATCTCATAAATGCAATAGACACCTGAAGCATGTTGACCAGCTGATAGTAGCATGATAAACTGTAGCTGCTGAATGTTGAAGCATGGTCTTTATGTTGGCATGCAATCTGGAATGTACGGAGGAAAACGGAGTTATACATTTGTCTGTTCACTCTGATTGAAAAAAAATGTGTTCATACTTTTTTTTGTCTTTCTTTCTCTCCTAATTATCTTCACTGTCTTATGTCTGTCTTTTGGCTCTCGGTTCTGCTTTTTTCCCCTTTCCTCTTTGTCTCCCTCTCTGTCACATCAACACCTTCAATCATCTCTTCTCTCCTCTTTGTTCCTTTGGACCTTCTGTTTCCACTGCTCCTTTCCTCCCCAGTGTCTCGTGGTCCAGGGGAGCCCCCAGGTGGCCAAGGGGAGATGGAGCGCACTGCAGGTCCTCATTCTGACAGCGGCTCAATCTCTCCTACATGGGAGAGAGATCGCAGGGGACCTCCACCAGGACCCCCAGGTGTGTGTATATGTAAAAGCGAATTCACGGTTTCAGTGTCCACAATGGCCTGCAAGGGTACACCTGATGTAAATTTTATCAACTGCCCAAGTTCACAAGGATCCACGTGGGAGTCCCAGTGCGGCCCAATACTTATGACCGTGTGGACTGACGCACTTTATAATTATCATTGATTTATATTAATTTGTACATGTTCTCTATTGATAGTGTCCAAACCCAGTGGGGAGTTCTGAATTCGCTAGAAATCCTGTGCTATGTCTGCCCACTGTGCTCAGCTTACTTCAGGAATAGTCACGGACTACAGCCAAGTCTGAAGCTAGCTCCTCGGTGTTGTAAAAAAAGTGCAAAGTCAGTTGCCTTTCAGAACATCCATCGGAGCCCTGTGTGTTTTTCTGTGTTCAACATGTGGAGCAATGAGACCATCTGTGCAGCAGACAGATGTGTACCTATTGTAGTATGAATGGAACCGGGTGTGTGTCCAATGGCCATTTACGATGTACATGCACAGGGATGCAGATTCCATGAATTGGCCTTTAGAGGAAAAAAGAATCAGAATATTATGATAAATGCCCACCCAGCTGGACCAGCCCCTACCTGACTCTGAACATATCAAGAGTTATAGCTGAGGTCATATTCATCAAACACACAGATGCTTCCTTAGTTTGATGCAAAACTAAGCAGGTAGGTTTTCAGGGTTTTGCATTCCTAAAAGGTGACTTAACCAGGATTTTCCATTGCTTACCATACAATTTAAACAGTTTCCAAGAAGCTTCTAGTTCATTTAAGGTGATCTAAGTTTAAAAAACAAACAAACAAAAAAAGAACTCTGTGGTGACAATACTAGCACAGACTTGTGGCTTGCAAGGATGAAGACCAAACCGTTCATATTGGAGATTCCTACACTTGCATATGAAAGTAAGAACCAGCATTCAGACTGCCGCACGGAGCATTTACTTCCATCAGTCTTGGGAAAGATTTTTGCATGTGGCACAGTGCTATTGCTCGGTGTGCATGTGCACCTTGATGATGTTCAGAACCACTTGTTGGGGAACCCAAAAGAAGAAATCGCCGAAGCTTTGACTGAAAGCAGTAAGCACTCACATGTGTAATATTACCTACGGCTCCTGTTTCCATGACACACAGTACCGCGCCCTGGAGAGCTCAATGGAGTGCAGTCATCGCTGAGGACATTAGTTACACCTGAGTTTGGAAGGTCAAAAGTTGAAGTCAAAGTGTGCATGTGAATGCTAAATGCATGATGACAGTGCATGTGTGTTGCCTTCAATGCATTTTGACAATGGAAACTGCAGTTGTCTGTGACGCTCTGTGACGAATCAGATCATTTACCACATAATCCTGAAAAGGAAAGTGCACCTGGAAACACTATTTGTGCACCTAATGTTTGTGTTTATGTTTACAGGTAAAAACAACAAAATTGAGTTTTCCTTATATTTCTTATTTTTAATTTCTTCCTTGCCCTATATCAGACATTCACACTGTACTCTGTGCCCACAAGGTCATAGTTTGCAGAAATATCAACATCACACTGCAGATTAGATATTTGTGCGACTCATTTACATTTATAAAATATCTTTGTGCTTGCTCACTCCCCCAGGCTATATGTTTCCAGAAGCAGGGGGTCCCATGTACAGGAGACCTCCACCTCCTCCAGGAGCTCTGGGCATGATGCCTCCTCCTGGCCCTCTCCATCCTCGGGGTCTCCCCCCAGGAGCCCCTCAGCCTCTTGACATGGCAGGCGAGTCTCTTCTGTCTTGTGGTCTTTTACTCTTCTTTTGTGTAAATAGGTGAACTTCTAGATATTGAAATAGAAAATCAAAATGCAAACTGTTCTGAATGTTAGACATGCATTGGAATAGATACTTCATATTCATGTTCCCTTCATTCACTTATAAATGTTTGTCAATGCAGATGGCTCATACAGAGAAAACAGCTTTGGACCTGCTGAACTAGAACATAGAGAGGTAAGAGTGTTTGTGAGTATTTCACGTGTGGATCTGTGGTCCAGCCTCTATAAAATGTTTTTCTCACTGTCCTCAGTCTGGTCCTGGTGATCGGAGGAGTCCCCCTGAAGCAGGTCCAAGGATAGGTGGCCCACCCCCTCCTGGACCCCCAATGGGTCCCATGGATGGACCCTTTCCTCGTAGAGCCCCTTATGGACCCCCACCCCCACCTGATTTCTACCCCCCCAGGGGACCAGGGGGGGCTCCTATGATACCCAGTAAGAAGACGCAGCCATTTTTGTAGCTTATAGCATCTTATCTCCAGATGACATCGGTGTAAATTAAAGTCTTTCTTTCCTGCTCTTTTCTTCCAGTGTGGGCGCCCCCTCATCCAGGAATGATGTTACCTCCTCGTTTCCCACCTGGCGGACCTCCCCCTCCTCCTGCTCCTCACCCTCACATGCCCTCCTACGGCCCCCCCATGCGACCCCCTCCTCCAGACGCTCTCCCACCATCTTCCATGGGCCCTCCCCCTCCTCAGCAGTCCCTCCCTTCCCCACCACACAGCCAGTCGCCTGAGGAGAACACACCCTCGCCTGAAGACGCCATTTGAGCCTGACAAAGTTTCTTCTTCAGTTGTGAGATGATGTATTTTTGGTTAAAATTTAACTCAATCCTAGATGGATGCAAGGGCAGGTTTCTGCTTTCCCCATTTTTTTCTGTAACATCTATTTATTCACCAAGAGAATATATTTCATGAATAGTGGTAGAAGAGGGGGGAAAAAATCAGCATTCATCTACCTGTTTTTTTTTTTGCCGTATGTCTGCTTCAACTCTAATTTTCCACCAATCTCATGCTGTCTGCTCTTTGTTCTGCCTTCTTTCTCCATGTTACTCACTCTCTCTGCCCATCCTCATTCAGCTACATCCCGTTTGAGATCATAGTAAGAAATTACGCTCTAGTACTGCTGTTAGCTTATCAACGCCAGAAAACGTCCAAATGTTTATCATGGAGCAGCATCAATCAACATACACCCCAATGACAGAGAAATTTAAATGATCACAGACTGTCACTGCAACAATACATCTTTTAGCCTTGAAATAGTACATTTTGTTGTACCAACGCTCTTGTCATTGTCACAAAAAAAAAATGTAACCATTTAGCATCTATTGTCGTTGACCTGAATTGGACTATACTTCAATCAGATCACATCAAATTTTCTTTTGTCTCTTCAAAGGGAGAGCTTGCCTGAAAATAAAACTGAAGTGCACAACTGAATTTTACTAACTTCCCAGTGGGATTTGGGAGACTTTGTCTTCACCAACAAAGCTATGATTTCAAGAACAGCAAGCAAACATTTCTTTTGATCGTGTTACAGTGACTTACGAATGACCTAAGCTTGAAAAAAGTGGCTTATAATAGCTGCTTCATTGAAGAAAGCTGTGACTCATCCTGATAGTCACAGACCGGTGACTGGAAGAGATGCTACTTTCAGAGTCAAGGAGATGACACCCATGTGAATTTTGTAAAAAAAAAAAAACAAACAATTATTGATAAATGAATAAAGACTCTAAAATTGTCAATGTCTCCATATGATTTACTCATGTAATAATGTTGAAGTTGTGCATAAAGTTGTAATATCAAACCTGTCAGTGGCCACTGGGAGTAACAGAGCATTTATTGTATTATAGTGTGCATAAGACACACAATGGAAATGTTTAAAATATAATACATCTGTAATTGAATATTCCAAATATACTTTTGTTTATTGTAACCTTGATTGTACAGTGTAGTTCATATGTAATGATTTTTACCTGACCAAACTCTTGTGATGTGTCATTTGAAACATTTACAGAATATTTATTTAAAAGTGCGTAGAATACTTTGAAAATAAATTTTCACAATGCAGTTTGAATAACAAGACTTGTACATATTACATAATTTTGTTTATTCTATACAAGCCTGTTTTATACCAAGTAAATGTTGAGCTGTTGCATTCCCTAATAGGGTAATACCAAAACACTGATAGCACTTCTCCATGTAGATAAGTATTTCCAGGATCCCAGCGTTGTGCAAGCTGGGCTACTGCCATGGCTTGATGGGACGATACATCGACATACTTGTCAGTGTTAATCTCATGGAAACATGAGAAGCAAGCTCTTGTTCAACTGAGCTGGTCTAAAAGTGTCCAAATTATTCCCAGGCAATATGAGGCAAGTCATGATTTCAGGTTTTTCAGCACTGTTTAGTGATTGGCCAGCATAAATTCACAGGCATCTACTCTGAGTTGTAAATAGCCTATTTGTGACTTTGTTTTAGTGTTGAATCTAAATGCAGGTGAATGATAAAAAGCACATTACATCAGTCCCTGCTTCTCTTTTTTTTGTGCTTCGATCCTGTAAAGCCTTCTGTACGCTCTATTGTGGAAAGCTTCTAAGTATTCATTATTATTAATGAGGTAATCAGTCACATGCAAGCCTGAAGCTCTAAGGCCCCTCTTGGTCTGGCTGTACATATAGTGATGTAATCTATGAGTATGTTCACTGTAGCCTTGCTGTCAATGTTTTGATTGCTAAAATAATGTTCACAGAAACACCACAAGTCCTTACAAAACAACTTTTAATTGTAAAACCCATTCACATAATTAACAAGATACAAATGTACCTGACACATTACTTAAAATAAACTGTCAAAAAATATCAGTTTGAATATTTAACATGCCCACAACATTAATCTTCAAAAAACACATTAAACCAACACTATCAAATGGCAGTTTTTTGTTCATCATTCTCTATAAACAATGGGTTGTTTGTGCGAAGACTAACAACTGTGGTATGATTGACAGGATGTTGTACTGGGTCTTCCCCGTGTACACAATTAGCCATTGTCACTGTAGGCTTGAAAAAAGCTCTAAACCTAAACAGCCATAAAAACATGTAAAACACTGAACCAACAAAATCAACTATTCTCTGGATGGTCATAAAGATGGCAGCATTTAGATGTTTATCAGTAATAATGCAATGTAATTTTAGGAGCGCGTGACCCAGAAGACACAAGAGGTAGATGTGAAAGTAAAGAATGTAACAATACTTGAAAAATAACAACTTTATATCATCGTAATTTATCCAATAAGAAGTTGTTGACACCACATGTGGCCCTTGTTTTGTTACTGTGACTACAGGCTGCCGTTGTGTGGTCGAAAATAAGGAGAGGAGTAACTGAGCTTTAATTGACTAGTCACATGAAAAGAACAAGCTATGCTGACAGAAACACAAAAAAGTCTGAAAGATTTTGGTGAGGAACAAAACTATTCCAATGCTCAGATATCCATTAACACTGTATATGCTCTATATAATAGGATCGACTGAAATAGCACCTGCTTTTTGTTATATTCTTATCACTGCTTAATGTTGCCAACAAGAGTTAGTGGTCTAAAGGAGTTCACTGATAGTTCTGCAAGAGCTCTTAACTCCTCTCTGAATGTATTGACTAAACTGACTTGGTCACATGTCCACACACATAATTGTGAAACAGCTCCTTAACAACTGGATGCTCTCCAAAACAGAAAACTATACAGATGTAATATCATCACCACCTAACTATTCAAACATAACAGAAAGGTCTGATATTTAGACTGAGTCACATAAAAAAAAAGTAAAAAAAAATATTCAAACTATTTCATGGCACAGTGGTTTATAGATAAACCTGTATTTTCCTCTTGTATCACTGAAAGGCTTATCAATAACCTTTAAGCCTAAAAATATCACTGCTTACAATAATACACACTGATAACTGTGACGCAAAACCATTTCCTTGAACTTGTCACTGAGCACAGAATGATTGTGCCCTGCCAGTTTGAACAATCCATGGTTTTTCAAAACCGCTTTAGAAATGGGTCAATACATTGCTGCAAACACTTGAAAACTGAGTTTGCATGCTGTAAAAACACAGGCACTGACATAACATTGTTTACCATCCAAAGTCATTGGGGATCAATTGTGCTTCTATTCCTATTTGTCCTTTAAAGGGTTTTAAACTCCTGAGTCCTTGTTGTGGGTGACTGTTGGGATGACAGGCAGCTTACCGACTGGTGTCGCCGACAGGCAGAGTTGTGGTCACTTTTAGCAGAGTGCAGAGGCTTCAGAGAAATGTTCAGCTGTGTGTGTGTGTGTGTGTGTGTGTGTGTGAGTTTTTCTGATTGTAGAAGCGAATGCTTCCGTGTGTGTCAAATGTACTGTATGTGTGTCAGTATTGAGCATGTGTTTGAGGTCTGTGTGGCTGCATGTGTGTGTCTCAGCAGTTGAGGATGGGCCTGTTTCTGTCTGGTCTGAACGGGAACACGGAGCTCTCAGAGTCGGTCTTTCCTCTGTGGGGACCCAGTGTAGCCACGGCCTGAATGACAACACACATATACTTGGTTGGTAAAAGACGTGCACACACGAGCATGAACGCACACAGAGTGACAAACAGACGACTGCCACAAAGGGACAAAGACATAGCTCTGCATATCAAAAAACACACTTAACAGCACACACACCTTTCTGATAGCTGTCCAATCCTCCAGAATGTCCAGATCAGGCAGCATGTAGACGATATAGGGACGTGAACAGAGTTAAGGACAGTGACTGACACAGGGAGTGGAAGTGAATTGAAATCAGACATATTAAGATACCAGCATTGAGAATTTTTGGTAGTATCAACATAGGAAATAATTAAGGCTTTAGGGAAGGATATCAGACACCACAGAAGGTCGTCTCCTCTTCTTATCTGGACTTAGAGCATCACGCCTCTTTTTCCTCCCTGACAACTCATCATTCCACAGCTCTGATTGAAAGACACGAGCAAAAAGATTCATATGTTGTATGCATGCATTCAATTTAATATGCTGGATGTGTATAGTACCTTCTTATCACTTCAAAAAAAAGTTGCATTACAGTGTTGAATACAATGTGATGACTGTGTTACCTGATGTGATATCTATGCTGTGCCTGTCCTCCTCCAGTCTTCTAATTTTCTCCTCCAGTTCGCTCTGCACTGTATCAAACAGCAGCAGCTTCTCACTCTGCACCAAACATAAACCACTGTCAAATACATACACCAAAGTCCACACATTTAATCATTTCAGTGACTCAAGAGAAATTTCATCTGGCTATCAATTTTTGTCTGTGAACAGATGATTCAGTAGTGTGTGTGTGTGTGTGTGTGTGTGTGTGTGTGTGTTTGTGTGTGTTTGTGCATGTGTTTGTGTCTCCAACCTCCCAGTGTTGGCATGCAGCCTGGATCTCACAGTCATACTTGTTCTTCACAGACTCCAAGCACAACTCTCTGTAGATACCTGACAAAAACACACAAAGAGGGATACACAACATGAGAGTGAATAAAGACACCAGAGTGTCTAAGACATAATGAGTGTGTCTGTGCATTAAAGTTACCTGCCACCTTGGTGCGGACCTGCATGTTCTCCAGCAGTACCGCAAGAGGCTCAAGATATTCTGCTGCCCGGCCAGCCTCCACCTCTGCCAGCTTGCTGTTCACCTGACTGAGTCGCTCACGATACAACCTGCACACAATTACAGATATAAATATGAATATTACTCATTTTTATTTGTGACTTAAAAAAATGTAAATTCAAGTTCAGTACAAACTTGAAACAAATCTGTGCCAGTCTTACTGGTCTTTGAGATCTGTGAACTGTTTTTCTAGGTTGGACATCTCATCCAGACACTCCATCCTTCTCCGCTCACAGTCTTCTTCATCCATTTCTGGAACGGCAAAAAGTGTTAGCTACACACAGTGAAATATTTGACATATTATGAAACTAGACTTTGATGGAAAAATGAAGCAGCTCAGCAGCACAAATGATATCAAGATGTGCATCTTAAACAGAGCAAACCTTACTCAAGCCTTGGTCATAACTGGATGCAAGACTTTTGGGATCGTACCTCCTCTGCCAATTTTGGGTCCTGTGAAGGCCGTGGAGGTCGTAGAGGTAGAGGAAAGGTTGCAAGGGCTCTGTCAGAAATGCGTAAGAGAGGAGCAAGTCTGCCTTGCAAGTCGCAGGGGCGACATGAGATATCCGTTCACAGTCTGTGCAACGTGCGATTGCTGTGGAAATTGTACTCACTTCTTGAGTTTGTCTTGCCACCTGCATACGTGGCATGCACTCAGCACTTAGGAAGAGAATGGAACTCACGGAGAAAGTAAATCACACATGCCTCACCTGCCAACGGCGTAACTACTGCCGGTGCAGGTGATGCAGTGCACCGGGGTTATTATTCATTGGGATCAGTGATTTGCTAACTGAGTTATCACATCTGGAATGTAACAAAACGCTGTTTTATTCTGTGTGTGTGAAAACATTTGGCCGCTGTGCCATTGATGATGAATAATGAGTGTGATGAGATGCGGTGTTTTCATCCATTCATACTGAGTGGCAGTGACAGAAGAAACGGCCCTTGCACTGAGACATGCAGCCGTGCCAGGTAACACTGTGCTGTCCAGGTCCTGAACTGTACATCTGATAAGATTATGGTATATCCATTATTTGTTTGAAGCAATAATGCAATCGATGATCACTGGCGAAATGCAAGCGTGTGCTGTGAATGCACCTTTTACTTCTGGCGTGGAGTGATGCGTGCCCACTGTGCATTCGATTTTGATTGTGAATTGTGAGTGTGTGCGCCCTGCTTAACGCACAAGAGGCACTTGCTCCCTCATTGCGTGAGATGTGCGTCTTAGACCACGGATTTTCTTCCCACAGTGCCTTAAAAATTTGCACGTCTCACACGCAAACTCTTTGCGAGGGGAGCAAGTTACACTTGTGGCGTCACTGTTTGTAGAGAATTCGTAGAATCTTTTTGACATGTCAAAGATCCTCCCTATGTGCTTGTGGGCTGTCTGCGACCTCGACATTTCGCAAGACGGACTTGTGTGGCATGTACCATTTTGCACGTATTTTGGATGCAGACAGACCGTAGGAGCCCATACAGCTGGTTGTGACCAAGGCTTAAGTAAGAATATTTAGTCAAATCTTTGACAATTACTGCCTCTTTTTATACATTAAGTTTTTTTTCTTCATTGCAGCTATTTATTTAATCTGCAAGAAAATGTTGAGCTTATTTTCTATAAAAATCTAAGTTTCTCACCAGAACTGTCTCCATCCTCAGAGACAGAGGAGGTATCAGAGTCCTCCTCCTCTGAGCTGGAGGCCTCATGCTCCTGCTCTTCAACATCCATCTCCTCTGCCGTATTCTCCTTCTTCTCCCGGTCACGGTGCACTGGCATGGCAGTAAGGCAATTTCAAACTGGCAGTGACAGATTGAAATATATTTCAGGTAGGCTTTTTTTGGTAGTTTTACATACAACAGAAACAATTTTACATTATATACACATTACTTGGCTTAATTTGGTTAGTTTTAGGCCAAAAGACAAGCTAAGATTTTAAAGTAAGGCCACACATTTTATAAAGTGAGGAGCATGATTAGTTCTGTTTCTACATCAGAGTCTATAATACAGAACTTCCTGTTAGTGACATTCTCCAATCTGCACAATACAAAATAATGATTACATGAACGTATATTAGTCAAGAAGTGACTGTACAAAACACTTGAATAATTTAACATTTTATAACATAAAGGGCAAAATGTTTTTAGGTAGAACTACATTCTCGACATTGGGGTATGTCCACTAAAATGACTTGGCAGTTTAAAGCAATTACAAAATGCAATAAACATTTTAAATTTAACTTATTTCACCTGTTATAATTGAATACATGCTGAAAAAAATGTCAGGCTTGTAGGTTAACTGCAGTGTCAACAAAGTATTAGCACTTCGTACATCCTTCAAGTATTTCTTTACCGTTTAGATTGGTCGAGTAACTTCACAAGTAATTTATGCATTCTCTCCAGTTTTCCTGCTTAATATTGGCTGTTTTCCAAATGTATATAGGAAACTATATTCTTAGTGAATCATGTTTTACACATATTATCTTAAATTTGCTATTCTTCTCGAAGTGTCAAAAATACTGACTTTACGTCAATGAGCATCCTCATAAACAAGCTTGTCAAACTTGGTTATAATACCCCTAATAAAATGTTAACAGCTAATCAAGTAAAGCAATTTTAACTGAGTAAGAAGTGTGTAGCTGTTTGACTTTTTGATCACCTAACTATGCAAAGCAAACAAACGACAGTACATAAAGTTAGCATTTCTTTAGCATGCTAGCAAGTCAAAACAGTTAGGTCGCAAGCAAAATTATCACGAGTTATTCCACAAATACTCCAAGAGTGAACCTTAAAACTAAACCACAACTCACAGTATAACGAGGGACTGGACGTCTGCGTGAATGTTTGAAGAAAAGCAATGTTTAGAAAAAATAAGGTTAAACTTATTGTTTTTCTCGGCTACAATTTCACTCGTGTGTACCAGCTAAGCTAAAAACAAATCACTGTAGGGCGCTCTTATTTGTTATGGGAGCTGTAGTTCTCTGTATCGTTAATATTCGTATAATTAAATGTAAAGGAATGAGACATAAACTACCTTACCCATGATTCAGCGCTGTCGCTTGAGGCGGAGAGCTCGAGCAGAGTTGTCAAAAGGTGTTTTAAACAATAAATGAAAACCCGGTTTATGTCATAAGTATACTGTATTTTATGACATTCACATACAACATGATTTAAACATTAAAAGCAACGTTTGTTTATTGTTGAGCCATGTTTGCGTTGAATATATCTGGTATCTATTATTTTGTTTTCCCTCCTCCCTCCTCCGCCATGATGTTTTCTAAGTGAACAGCGGAGATAGCTAACCAGCTAGTTTAGCCCCGAAGGCTGCGGACTGTTGTGGAAGGGAGGTGCAATGGATGGATGCGTTGCCCCGCTACGTTGTACATATTTGTCTTAGTTAAAACAGAATGCGCCCTCTCCGACAAATTTTCCCCTCAGATATGCTCCGCGCTGTTGCGGAGGGCTGCTAATTCGCAGCGCGGCGTTAATAAATGATCCAGGAGCAACGGTTTTTCGTTATAGTTTGAAGATTAACGCTAGCTGAGGCTGTTGAAGTGGCTATACGGCTAGCTCCTCCTTGCTGTCTACCATCGCATTCTTGTGTCTCCTGCCTCAGGAATGTTCTCCAAAAAACCTCATGGAGACGTTAAAAAATCAACACCGAAAGTGTTGGACCCAAAGAAGGACGTGTTGACGAGGCTCAAGCATCTCAGAATAGTCATAGGTAAGTTTAAAATCCCTTTTAAGCAGCTAACAGGTTAGCTTCTGCGTGCCAGTCTGTGCATACAGTGCTTGTCACACAAAAGTAATCTTGAAAATCACGAAATTCAAAGTTGACTTGAATGTTAACAGTGACCGAGGCTTTTTGTCCAAAACCTGAAGATAATTTCAAGATATCTAGTGTTGACTCATTATTTCGGCATACTATGTGTTGTCCAATATGAGACATTTGTGTCATTAAATATAAGTTTTAAGTCATTGCATGTTTCTCCTTCCTTCAGAATGACAGGATTCGGAGCCTCCTCTATACAGGCTTAAAGTAAAAAGTAAAGTAAATGGTGCTGGTTGTTTCTGCTGTCACCATAATCTGTCGTGTTATAAGAGGGTTATAGGCGTAATTTATATTTTGTCGAAGTGGCAACTCAGCTAAATCGTCGGCTTTTGCAGGGAGTTTGACGTAGCTATGGTCTCTGCATAGGGTAGAGTCAATGTGATGTGTGTTAAGCTGACTGTATAAAAAGTAGACACATTAATGTTACACGCTGTTAGTCCGGATGTTGTGATTTCTACAGGGGCGTGCCAGAGTGTTGGACAAAGGCCTGATGTGTGAGAAATGCTGAGTATTTTTCCTTAACATATGTTGAGATGTGTTAGAACACAACACCAGTGGAAGTGTATTGAATGTGTGGGAGAGTAGGGAGGATGACGGCGTTAATAAGTGATGGCAGTGTTGGTGCCTGGGTGTGTGTGTCTGTGTCTGTATCTTTCACTGACGCACGCTTGCTCTCACGCATACCTACATATACACACACACAGAGGCTGCAGCGGGAAATAGCCTCTACTATTTCCTCTCTCTGTCCAGTACAGTAGCTCCTCTTCCTGTTTCTATTGTAAGAGCTACTGGGCTCTGTGTTTGTGTATATGAGACAGAGGGAGAAGGGGTGTGCCTCCGCTCTGTGCTCTATGGGGAGCACAAGAACATGATAATGATCCAAATACATGCACGCATACAAACACTATTGCAGTGACATTGCCTGAGAGAAAACACTTAAAAGGCTGAACAATGACTAGCTACACAGTTTTGTCAATCATGGTGGCAGACCACTTGAAAAAATCACACTATTAGTTGCAGTAGATCATTGTAAAAATGTCACTTAAGAAAAAAAGTAGGCTCCAAAATATACCCCAGAGCAAGAAGTACTGTTTTATGTTGTTGATGTTGTTTCTCATAACCTTTTAACCTTTTAATTTGACCAGTTTTGTTGTTTTCTGGATATTAACCACCATCCTTGTAGGAAACACACAGTAAGACTGTTGTGCAATTTTTGAAATGTAAAGGAGTAGCTATTACCTGATCTGACAATTGCATTTGCTTTGCAGTGTCTTTGATGCAATCAGGTTATTAAGCAACAGCTCCCAGGTCCTGTTCAGCCCTGTTGTTCATTCCAGACCATAAAAACAGCAGTAGTTTTGTTTTGGGTAATGATCAAGTTGTGGTCTAAGTAAGGACAGTATTGTGTTAGGAACTGTTTACCGCGCTACGGTAAATGAGAGAAAAAGCCATTTCCACATAACATTACAAGGTCAGGATTTCCTTCCATTATTAGAAGTCAGACTATTTAAAGAGATCAAAAGTTGGCAATCAGGTTGTGATAAACGTTGTGTTAAAATGTCAGTCCCAAGAGGAAAAGATAGAAAACCACTCAGCTAGGCCAGTGAGACCTTACAAGGGCAACCACGAGGGCACAGAGCACAGATGGCCTCAGTGTGTCTCTATACCACAGTTCAGCTTTCAGTCTTTGTATAAACAAACCCAAAGACTTTTAGAGACTGAATGCAAGTGTACCTGTGTGATGCTTGGGAGTGACTGTCAGTGTAGACCCTAATGTTTTGTGTTTTTTGGACCCTGAAAGACTTTTTTTTATTCTCAGTAGTAGTGTTTTATCTCAGTTCGTGAGTCAGTGTCTCCCCTCTAATGACAGCCAGTAGTGCAGAGGTCCAAAACACGTGAAGATAAACTTTCCATTCTTTGGACGAGTGTGAATGTTAAACTGTGGCTTGGACCCAAACTGTGGCTTGACATGACACTGGTGTATTTAGAGAACTCAGATGTAGCGGTGAGGTTAGATTACTCAAACATACTTCCTGTAATGAAAAGTCAGAAGTACATGGTCTTTACAGCACTGCATTTTTCTCATTATCATTCATGCATTTAGCCTTCAAAGTCTAAAACCTGTAAACTATGAATCAACAAAGAAGGGCCTAAAACTGACTTAGATCACTTAGATATTCAATGTGAATCTGTCCCCTCTTTCTCTTATATTTTTACTGTAAGTTATATTTTGTTTGTATTTTCCGTTTTTATTTTACTACTTATATCTGTTGGAGTAGACATTTGTAGCGGTTAAGTTAAAGGAGCTCATGTGATGTTTTTTGTGTATAGTGATGGGTTTATTTTATGAACATATGATGAGTGGGAGGGGCTGCAAGGTGGTGCAGTTGGTAGAACTGTTGCCTTGCAGGAAGAAGGTCGCCGGTTCGGTCCTGGTGGGGGCATGTTCTCCCCGTGCAGTGTGGGTTCTCTCCAGGTTCTCCGGCTTCCTCC